ACCTGCGAGTGGAGGCTGGGGCAGGGCATGGTCGCGCTCGCCGTACTGTGAGAGCGGAGCGGCCGCCTGGGTCCGCCATGCGCCGGTGGCGCTGACATGGGCGCCAGCGGCTCCAAAGCCCGGGGCCTCTGGCCCTTTGCCTCCGCTACGGGGGGCGGCGGTCCTGAGGCGGCAGGCGCTGAGCAATCTTTGGTGCGGTCTCGAGCCCGAGCGGTGCCCCCCTTCGTATTCACGCGCCGCGGGTAAGGGCATGGGTGTCTGCCTTGGGGAGGAAATCCGGGAACTAGGAACGCCCCCCCCCACGTTTGAATCAGGAGGACAGTCATGTTTTGGATCCCCATCAGAGCAAGGGGTGGGGAAAACCAAGTGGCATTCAGCTCCTGTCTGCTCAGAAGGATTTTTTTAAAATATTTATTCATTATGTATACACTATTCTGTCTGTGTGTATGCCTGCACAGACCCCATTACAGATGACTGTGAGCCACCATGTGGTTGCTGGGAATTGAACTCAGGACCTTTGGAAGAGCAGGCAATGCTCTTAACCTCTGAGCCATCTCTCCAGCCCCCTCAGAAGGATTTTTTTAGAGAAGAGTTGGCTGAGTCTTGTCCCTTGGGTAAAAGCTCCCCCATAATCCCGCAAAGACGGTATCTAAGAGTCTTAAGATCTTCCTTTCATCCAATTCAACCTGCAAATTAAAGGCATTTATGTACCTCCTATTCTTCTAAAGCCTTAGAAGAATCTAACGGAAAGTGATCTTCTGTTTAGGTGTCTTACCCTCCCAACCGTGAAGGTGGACCTCTGAGAGTAATGTCTCTAAATTGGCTAGGCCTCAGTGCTGAAGGTGAGGCCACCCAAAAAGAGGCCTTCTCCCAGTTGGGTTCTCAAGACCTGGAGCATTAACCATCTTTTCCCCCAGGGACTCACACAAAATGGTCTGGACCTCGAGAGCTCCTAGGGACTGACACTCCCTGGAATGGGAATTTGCCCGTAAACACCAGAAAGACCCAACCAGCAGTGTTGATTAGGCTGTGCCAACCACTTGGGAATGAGTGGGAGCGCAGCCTTCCTGGCTCAGACATCTACGATCTTGTTCTTTGTCCTGAACTAGCAGTGTCTTTAGAAGTGAGATTAGTGTGCCCAGGCCAGTTCCCACCCACTTTATAAGCTCTAGGTGAAGGGTCTGCCGCTGGCTAGTTTACCCTTGTGGATCAGACCGCTGATGAAACAGTGTGCTCTGCTGTGACCTCTTGTTGGTGTGACAGTATCAGTGGCATTGATGCACTTTCTGCGTCCCTCTAATGACTCCAAGCACCCAAGCAAAGAGTTCTTCAGGCCTACTATTCTTCCACCATGGTTAAGATTGTGTCTCTTCATCTGGGGTCCAGCACACTTCCCTGTGGTCTGGGGCATTTGCCATGATCAGGTGTGCAGCTCCAACCCAGCCTCTTCCCTTCTCTACACAGCTCCATGTTCTATGATGAAGACGGGGATCTGGCTCACGAGTTCTATGAGGAGACAATCGTCACCAAGAATGGGCAGAAACGAGCCAAGCTGAGGCGGGTACATAAGAATCTGATTCCTCAGGTGAGGGGCTGGGCGGTGGTTGTAACCTACATTGGTATGTCAACATAGATACAGATGGAACTGGGGGAGGAGCTGGGGATATCAGGAAGGCTCCTAGCATAGAGGCTCTGAGCTGATCTTCACTAGCCTCTGTTTCCACGGCAGGGCATCGTGAAGCTGGATCCCCCCCGAATCCACGTGGATTTCCCTGTGATCCTCTATGAAGTGTGAGCCTGTGGCATGGCAGACACAAGCACCCACTGCCCCAGCAAGAAACTCCCAGGCTCAAGGTGTAGCTTCCATTCAGGAGTCCAGGCTGGTGCCACAACCCTGAATAAACTAAACTCCATTGGCCCAGAACCTTCAGTTGTGAAAGGGGCAGTCCCTCAGTGTTAACTGGTATTGGTTTATGTCTGAACAATAAGTGGTTGGTGGCTGGTGAGGGCTAATGGCAGAATTGCCAGCCCGTCTCTCCCAGCTGCTTCTTCAAGAAGCATGGCAGGACACATGCTGGTCAGGAATGCCTGGTTCCTAGTTCCTTGCCTGACCTGCTTTCTTCCAAGCTTGCCTAGGGCCCAGCACTTTACAAGCAGAGTCTGCCTTCTCCCGGCCCCTGGGCTGTAGGGGCTGGCCCCACATGGGAGCATCCTTCCCCCACTTCCCTTCCCCCTAGTCAGAGCATTCAGCCGTTTGCTACCTCGATTCCTCCTGTGTTGGACAGAGACTGGGGATAGTGCTAGCCTCGTTCTTCCTGCCTCCCTGTCACTCGTCCCCGCTCTAAGATGGACAGTTAGCTGGCCGTTAAGTAAGAATGGGGACTAGTGTGGGAGGCTCCTTTCACCCAGGGCTGCACTGATCTCTCTTGATTTCTCCCAGGTGCCCTCCCCCAAGTTGAGAGGGTGCAGGCCGGGGTCAGGACAGGCTAAGGATGCCTGTGCCTATGGGGACTTGTCCCAGACCACATATTCTGTCTAATCTCCCTTGTCTTTGCGCCAGCAGTCCCACCCATCCCCAACTGTCGGGGAGGGGCTGTTCACCACCCAGTGGTAAGAAGCAGCAGGCCGGGGCTGGTACCAGTAGCTGTGAGGAGCCCATCACCCCTTCTCCTATAGTATCTTCACTTCTTCAGGGTCAGTTAAGGGAAAATACTGGAGCTCCTTGGCAAGGATCAAAAGAAGGGAAAAACGCATAAAAGGAGTAATTCAAATGTGAAGGTTTGTAAATAGACTGTGATGATGTTGGGGCAGAGTTTGATTTCTACATAGAGATGGCTTTTTAAAAAAAAAATCATTGTTTGTAGAAGCTCTGGGCGTCTAGAGTGTGGGAAATGGCTTGGGGAGGGTGGTCCCCAGCATAGGAAGACTGTTGTGTCATTTGTTCAATTTCAATAAAATTATTTGTAGACCCTGCACATGAGCGTGGCTTCCAGTGAGGCTTTAAGACCCCATTTCTAGACTACCACTTGAGCTGATCAGGTAGGCCTCTGGCCCTGGACTCTGCCAGGATGGCAAGCCCCCTCTAAGAGCTAGTAAGTCTGAACATTGCCTGTAGCAATACCAGCCATGGCCAACAGGTGGCTGTGTTCACACACCATCTCCAGCCCTGGGAGGTGCTCACCTGCCTCACCTTGTTGGGGTGGGGGTGGGGGATTGGTCTTGAAACCCTTTGGAGATTTGCCTAGCTGCCTTGCCTGAGGGGTGAGTGTGATCATACATAGTTGTGGGATAGTTCTGGTCCCAGCAGTAACATATTATATCAAGTGAGGTTACAGCTTAAGCCCCATGACTGTCAAAGTACCCGCTATTCTTGAATGGCAGCCAGGTATTCCCACCATGCCCTTGGCCTCCTACCAGGCTCTGGAGTCCACACACACCTGACTCTTGGCAGGTAACAGTTGGAGGGATGAGCTCTTAGGCTCTATCCCTAGTACGTCCTCAGCTCTCTGCTGCCAGGGGACATTCTGCTTACATTTCTCAGGGTATGCTATGAGTAGCCTCTCTGCTAGGCCTAGCCTTTGGCCATTAAGCTCAAGAACTTTAGGAAGGAGGAATTCATCAACCCAGGGTCAGGGCAGTTGGTCTTCGAGTTGCTCAGGGGCTGGAACTTGTCCAGTCTTGAGTAGGATCACCTGTGCAGCCTAGACTTCCAGTTCTGTAGAATGACTTCCATCCCCCTGTGCAGGGCCTCCTGTTCAGAGGCCAAGGCTCCCCATATCAGGCAGTATCCTATCTCCCATTGCCACCATCCTGCCTGGGGGAACTCCCTGTTCTGGACCTGTCTCGCTGACCCCAAAGCCATAAACAATAGACACATCAGGGCAGTGTTTCCCCACTCCATCCGGCTGGGCTGTGCTCACTTCCTTCCTGCTGGCTGCCTAAGGAAGTGTCCCTGCCCTGGACAGTCTGGCCTGGCCTTTGTTTTCCCAGGAGTCCCACCCTTGGGGCTTCCTAGAAGCTTTGGTCCCTTGTGAAACCAACACAGGGGTTCAGGGATGCTCCATTGATGTGTAGGACCACAGCCTAGGCTGGATACTCAGCCCCCATACAACTTTTTATTAGCACAGGGACTCCCTAGCGTCGGGGAGGTGAGCCACTTAGGTTCTGAGGGGTGGCTGGTTCAGGGTGATTTGAGAGCAGGCAAATTTGCCTGCACCTCCAGAGAGGTCAGAAGGGACCCTGCTAGTCTTCAGGGGTCCTCTTGTGAACTCTCTCTCCCACAGGGACACACATCTTCACACCTTCATGTGTGAGAAGCCCCATGCTCTGCACACCCTCCTAGCCCCTGCCCACCCCCCACTCCCATATCACACAGACACAGGCATTAACACATTGTCACATTGTCTCCTTTGTCATACTTCAGATACTTCCGCTGTCAGTGGAAAAAGAATTGACTCAGCTACTGGAAGCCCCCACCCCACCCCACCCAAGTTTCCCCCTCACACGAGATAGTTTCCTTCTTTGGAACCTGCTCTAGGGGGCCATTAGATAAACAATCAAGCAAAATAGTGTGACTCCCCTGAATACCGTCATTTGCCTCCCCCCACTACTAGATTTGATTTGAGGATGATTGAAACCTCAAGGAGATGAGCGCCTGACCCTAGGCCTATATCCTTCCTGTCACTTGGCACAACTCCTGGGCCCAAATCCTACTCAGAGGAAGGGTGCCAAGGGCAGCCAGCCAGCAAGGGAAGCAGGGTCAGGGGGCTCTCCTCCCAGCCCCTGTTCCTGTCCCTTTCCGCCCAGAGGGGCAGCAGGAAGTGAGGAGAAAGGGTAGGGGTGGGAGGCGGGAGTGGGTGGGAGGGAATGGGGTTTATCAAATCCCCAGCAGGCTGCCCACAGGGCAGCAGCTGGTGCAAGTAGCCTGGCTGGAGAAGTTCACCTCAGGAAGAAGGGAGGCCGCCGACCTACTGGGCGGACGGACTCCCGCACAGGTGAGCCCAGAGAAGACCTTTAAGCTGATCGGCGCTGCCTTTGATTCGCTAGCCGCTACGGTGCTCCTTAGCTTTCAGGCATGCGGGCGGGAAAGGGGCTGGCGGCTTTCGGGAAGTTGAGTCGTGCTGTGGAGAGCAGATCTAAGAGGCGAGGGAACAGCTCTAAACCTACTCCCTACCAGAAGGGGATTGCAAGGCAGAAGGGTTCAAAATATGGACTAGAGGCACTGGGGAGCCACTGCAGCCTACTTTCCATAATTCCGACCCGAAACTTCTGCGACTTGCACTTTATTCGTGGTTGACTGGGAGTCCCCATCCCACCTCCACCACGTCACAGAGACTGGACCGGAGAAAATCCAGTGGATTGGCCTGCCCTGGTGTGGATCCGGAGAAAGCGGGTAGACCACTTTTCCTTTTGGGCCAGGCTGAACTTCAGCCCCTCTAGCGACGCGACGACCAACCCCCTGGTTACCACGACAACCGCTGCGTCGACTTTGCCAGAGGAGGGCTCAGAGGCAGTCCTAGGCCCCCTCCTCTAGACAGGCAAGGGGCGGGGCTTCCCTCTGACCGCAAGCTAGTGTAGGGAATCTGGGATCCGAGAAGGCGGGTCGTTAATGTCCCTGGCGGCTCCGGATTCACTCGGGTCAAAATCTCTTATACTACACAAAGGGCCCGCACTGCTAGAGTCCAAAGTCAGGCTTGCGGGACTGAACCCGCAGCTACCCCCAGTCAAGGCCTCGGCCGTAACCCTTTATTCCACATACCACCACCTCCGCGCGCGCCAGCCCGCCCCATCTAGTATTCTACTCCTTTAAGAGGACGGCTGCAAAGAGTGGACTGTTCCACTGGCGACATACTGTGGGGGTACTATCTCAGGCTGGATGGCTCTCGCGGCTGAGACTCTAGCGGGAATTCTGATTCCAAGAAGTATTAGATCTCAGATAGATGACTATGTTCCTCTACAGAAGGTCTGGGGGTCCTCGAACTCGAAACGCAGCACTGGAAGAAAGGAAGGCGAACAAACCCTCCCCGCGAGGCCGCCATGGGTCCACCTCCGAGGCTCGATTCTTAAAGGGCCCGCTGGTCGCCGCTGGCCTCGGGGCGGAGCCAGCAGAGGCTCGAGCTGGGGCAGTGCTTGGGAGAAGGGCCGGAGCGGGCTTGGCTGGTACCAGGATGGCGGCGGCCCTGGCGTGGGTCCTGGCGGCGCCTGGTGCGAGGTGAGGGCGGGCGTTGCAAGCCTGGTGATTCTCTTCCTGTGAGCTGGGCTCTGAGTCTCTAGAGGAGCCTTCATAAATGACCCAGGGACCCCACCCCCACCCGGGTGAACTCTGGCCCCACGTGCGGGGCGGGGGCGGGGTCCCGCACAAAGACCGGGAGGAATACCCTCCACTCGGGACCCGTTGTGCTGGGAGGTGAGGGTGTAGGCCGGCCGCGAGGACTCGCACAGATTTTCGGTGGCTGTGGTGGGAAGGGCAGGTCGGCGAGCACCGCGGTGCGAACTCCGCTGCCCCTTTGTCCCCGGACGCATCCTCCAAGCCAAAGACAGTGTCGGTACCCGGGACTAAATCCTGACAGCCTCACTCTTCTGCTTTGGAGCATGTTGTATAGATACCAGTTCCTCTGCTGTGTTCATAACAGCTTCTGTATGCATTGTGTCCAAATGCTATCCCTTCTCTAAATCAAGAGTTCTTAGCGGGGGGTTGGGGGACCTCTAGGGTGGAGCTTGTGTTCAGGGTGTTCTAAAACCGTGTACTGTATGGTATATAGGCATGTAAGTGACTCAGGCCGTGAGTCTGGAGCCTAATTCGTCCCGTTTTCAGAAGGGACACAGACCTAAAGGAGATTCTTGCCCAGCCACAGGCAGCTCCAGAAAATTCTGTGATTTGGTCGAGTCCCTAGGTCTCTTGCCTACCCTTCAGTATCCATCTCTCAAACTTCTTATGGCCTTGGCAGACACGGTGGGCAGCACAGTGTGGGTTTGGGAGTGTAGACGGGATTGAGGTGCATGCCTCTGGAACTGTCTAGACTGATTTGTCCTCTTCCCACACTTCCTTCAGTTCCTGAGCTGCTACCAGGCAGGTGACACTTCCTGTAGCCCCCAGCATGCGGGCAGGACTGGGTCCCATCATCACACTGGCCCTGGTGCTGGAGGTAGCATGGGCCGTGGAACTTAAGCCCACAGTGCCACCCATCTTCACTGGCCGACCCTTTGTGGTCGCATGGAATGTGCCCACACAAGAATGTGCCCCGCGCCACAAAGTGCCCCTGGACCTTAGGGCCTTCGATGTGGAGGCCTCACCTAATGAGGGGTTTGTCAACCAGAACATCACCACCTTCTACTACGACCGTCTAGGCCTGTATCCACATTTCGATGCAGCTGGGATGTCTGTGCATGGTGGTGTGCCTCAGAACGGTAGCCTCTGCGCACACCTGCCCATGCTGAAGGAATCTGTGGAGCGCTACATTCACACCCAGGAGCCTGGGGGGCTGGCGGTCATTGACTGGGAGGAATGGAGGCCTGTATGGGTGCGAAACTGGCAGGAGAAGGATGTGTACCGGCAGTCTTCACGCCAGCTGGTGACCAGTCGACACCCTGACTGGCCGCCAGACCGAATAGTAAAGCAGGCACAGTATGAGTTTGAGTTTGCTGCTCGGCAGTTCATGTTGAATACACTACGCTATGTCAAGGCAGTCAGACCTCAGCACCTCTGGGGCTTCTACCTCTTTCCTGACTGCTATAATCATGATTATGTCCAGAACTGGGAGAGCTACACAGGCCGCTGTCCTGATGTGGAAGTGGCACGCAACGACCAGCTGGCCTGGCTCTGGGCTGAGAGCACCGCTCTCTTTCCCTCTGTGTACCTGGATGAGACACTGGCTTCCTCCACACACAGCCGCAACTTTGTGAGTTTCCGTGTTCAGGAGGCCCTTCGTGTGGCTCACACCCACCACGCAAACCATGCCCTCCCAGTGTACGTCTTCACACGCCCCACATACACCCGAGGACTCACAGGACTGAGTCAGGTATGTGTTCCAGGGCCTTGCCTTCTTCCTCCAGGAACCACTGCATGCTTGGGTTTATCACGGACCAAAAGTACTAGAGTTAACTGCAGAGTCCACGTTTCTTTTAGTATTGTGGAAGGCCGACGTCTTCCTCATTCTGCAAATAAGATTGAGGCCCAGAGCTGAGAATTAGCCTAGAGCCTCTAGGAAGTCCATGAAAAGTGCACAGAATTAAAGCCAGTCATCCTGATTTAGGAGCCAGAATGTGTGCCCTTGGCTTTGGAGACGAAGGTCCCAAGTGGGCATGGAAATGGAATTAAACCCAGAAAGCAGAGCGGCCCCGCCTGGAGGCATACGGGGAGGTATGGTCAGCAGGTTAGAACAGGTGTGTCCCTCCTCTCCTGTCTGGTAGTAATCATCCGTTCCCACACAGATGGACCTCATCTCTACCATCGGTGAGAGTGCAGCCCTGGGCTCAGCTGGTGTCATTTTCTGGGGCGACTCAGTGTATGCTTCAAGTATGGTAAGAGACCTCCCCAGCCAGCCAAACCTGGTGGGAAACTTATACTTTGGCTTCCACCCTCACCTGGGTATATGAACTGAGTCTAGCTTGGCTGCCTCCTAAGCATGGAGGCTTTGTCCCTGAACCCAACAGAGAAGAAGGGCACCCCCACCCTGTTCCCAGGAAGAGGAAATGCTGTCCTGAACAGCTGGAGTTCCACCCTTCCTCATCTACACAGCTGGGTTCCAGTCTGTCTCCACCCCACTTCTCACTAGGGACAGGACCGTAAAGGCTCGGGAACTGATATGTACATATGTACACAAGTAAGTGTGCCCCGGATGATGTTCAGAGAACACTTGCCTGGGCTAGGAGTCCAACTCCACTGCTGCCAAAAGAAAGAGGTGTAGACAGTTTCCATCAGGGCTTTAGGCAGAGGCAGCTACCATTGGGTGCTCACCTGCTAACCTTGGCCTCTTCCTCCAGGAGACCTGCCAGTACCTCAAGAATTACCTAACACAGTGGCTGGTTCCCTACGTAGTCAATGTGTCCTGGGCCACCCAGTACTGCAGTTGGACCCAGTGCCATGGCCATGGACGCTGTGTGCGCCGCAATCCCAGCGCCAATACCTTCCTGCACCTCAGTGCCAGCAGCTTCCGGCTAGTGCCTGGCCGTACACCTAATGAACCCCAGCTTCGACCCGAGGGGAAGCTCAGCGATGCCGACCTCAACTACCTGCAGACACACTTTCGCTGCCAGTGCTACTTAGGCTGGGGTGGCGAGCAATGCCAAAGAGACCATAAGCGGGAAGCTGGAAGTGCCAGGAGAGCTTGGGCTGGGCCCCACCTCATCAGTCTGCTGACTTTGGTAGCCATGGCCCTTACCTGAACCTTATAAAGGAGTCTCCCACCAGGATATCACTCCAGCTGGCCTCTGGCACAAGGATCTGGGCATGAGGAGCCTGTTGGGGGTAGACAAATGAATTTGGCGTGGGCAGAGCCCCCGGGATGCCTAACAGGCATCCATAGCAGCTGTCATCCCCCTGTTCTAAGGGGGAGAGAAAAATCCCCCGAGAAGCCCCTCATCTTGCCAGTGAAGAAGGAGGCTACAGCTAAGCCAGGGAAGGCCTGACTCTACTTCCTTGCTCCTGGATAGTTTATAGTTCTGGGGTCTCTTTTGTAAATTAAATATAAAACAACTCTGCCTGGTTTTCCTGTTTCTGGGCTAGTATGTGCAGGAGAGCTCAGGGTTGTTGAGGTTAAGCTGTGCTCTTTGAATCCCTCAGCTGTGTGGTCACTGGGGCCTAGGGCGATGCCTACTCAGCAGTGTGGGGGGGCAGGACCCACTAGAGGAGGGTTCCTGCTCTACCCTAACGTCACTTCCACTTTACCTTGACTGGAATGAATTGTGCCCACCATTGTGTGACTGACAGAGCTAGCTATGTATCTGCCACCTGTCCCAGTAGTCCAAGCTTTCTTCCCTCAGCCACCTATGGAGAAAGGGGAAGTGGTGCCTGATCATTCCGATGTTCCTACAGACAAGGGCATTTCTGCTCCCTGATCCCGAGGGCATGGGACTCCTGTCACATGCCCTTCTGGCCATCTGGAGATGTCAATCTGTCACTGTGTGGATACCTGATGGAACTACCCTGATCTGCAGTCTGCAGAGCAGGGTCATCCCCAAAGGTCAGCTTTGGAGCCAGGACATTATATATATATATATATATATGGTCAGTGATAGAGACTCGCCTAGATGTGTGAAGGTCCTGGGATTGATCACCAGCACTGTGTGTGTGTGTGTGTGTGTGTGTGTGTGTGTGTGTTATAAATACACAAAAAACCTCTCCCAGGGCTGGAGAGATGGCTCAGTGGTTAAGAGCACTGCCTGCTCTTCCCAAGGTCCTGAGTTCAATTCCCAGCAACCACATGGTGGCTCACAACCATCTGTAATGAGGTCTGGCGCCCTCTTCTGGCCTGCAGACATACACATAGAATATTGTACACATAATAAATATTTTTTTTAAAAAAAAGACACAAAAAAAAAATCTCTCCCGCCCATGGGACAAACTAATAGGAGTTTCAGAGGAGAGAAGCAGCAGCTGGGGTAACTGGGACAACTCTGACCGGTGTTACCTCCATTGTCCTTCCCTCAGACCCACTAGAGTGTCAGTGATGCCCTCAAGAAACGTAGTGGCCCTACAAGTGCTCCCACGGTTAGCTTGTACCAAATCTCAAGTTCGCTCACCAGAACCAGAAAGTGAGTAAGGACAGCCAACAACCATGTTGAGATTTGAAAGGGATGTGGAGGAACCAGGTGATGGTGCATGCCTATTGTAATCCCTGTAACTTGGGAGATAGAGGCAGGACGATCGGAAGTTCAAGCCCAGTCCTGGCTTGGAGGCCAGCCTGAGCTCTATGGGTATAGCTCACATATGAGAATATGGCTCATATAGGTCAGTTAGTTATATGTCTTCAAACAAAAGAGGAGCCTGCTGGTGGTGGTGCACACCTTTAATCCCAGCACTTGGGAGGCAGAGACAGGTGAATCTCTGTGAGCTCCAGGCCAGCCTGGACTACAGAGAGAGTTTCAGGACGGCCAGGGCTACACAGAGAAGCCCTGCCTTGGGGAAAATAAATAAATGAACAAATAAATAAATCAAAAATAGGGCTCTGGGTAAAAGGTACCTGCCATCAAGCCTGATGACCTGAGTATAAAACTGACCAGCTCCCTAGAATTGTCCTCTGACCTCTGTATGCACCTGTGGCACACATACAAATACATAAATAAATAAACGTAACTTAAAAAAATTGTGAGACAAGAGTCTCACTATGCAGCCCTGGTTAGCTTAGCACTCACTATGTAGATGAGGCTGGTCTTGAACTCACAGAAATCTGTTTCTGCCCCCCATGCACTGGGATTACAGGCACATGCCACCACACTAGACTTAATTTTAAAATCTGGGGGAAAAAAGACTAAAAATAATGGAGTTAACAAAGGAGGACAAAGACTAGGGAAACTGTTGTGTCTCCTCTAAACCTGTGATTTCCAACAACACAGGGATGAGTACTGAGAACTGAATATATACATACACACACATATATATATGTATGTATATATTTATATATAAAAGCTACAAGGTTCATGAATCCCCTTTTCCAAAACTAAAAAGCAGTAAATAGTTGCTAGAGAGAGGAGCTACCTACAAGTTGGCAAGCTGTTCCAAGGAAAACAGCTTTTGCGTATTGTTCCCATGCTAGGGTGGGCCTTTTGGTGATACAGCTGCCTTTGAGTCATGCGGCTTCTATAAGTAGCCCCTCGTGTTCTTCCTGTAATGTAACAAAAAACAAAAACAAAAAAAAACCAACTCTTTGATTCGCCAGTTAGACTTGGACAGAATTGTTTGTCTATTTGGTCTGTCATCAGTACTTTATCTGAGATGAATAGAAGTTGTTTACACTTGCTTAAGGAAAAAGTCCTGCCACACCAAAGATAACCAGAACCGCCCTAAGGGGTAGAGGGTGGGTCAGAGTAGGTAGCAAGATGGGGCTGCTCAAAGACCCTAGGCATGCACAGGCAGTGAGACCAAGCCCATATGGTAGCCCTACTGTGAGCACCAATGTTCAGTGGCCACCAAGTACGAGCTTCAGTGGTTCAGGAACACAACTGCAGGCCCAGACAACATTCCACCTGGGCAGGGCCATGTCCTCTCCTTTCTTACTTTCCCAACCCTTGCAGGCAAGCCTGGGCCTGAGCACCTAGCAGATCTCAGTAACCAGCCCATGATTCACGGAGCTAGTAAAACAACAAATGCATGAACACACAGCTCATGCGTGCGCTCACCAACAGAACCCTGCTCATTTCCATGGTCATGTGAAAACAGGGTCTCCTTGCTAGCACATGGTCCCAGGCACTGAGTCCCACACTTGAATGTATAAACCCCTGGGGATTTGGGCAGTGCCCCAGTTAGCACTAGAGCTTCACAAAGACAGTCACTGACCAGAATATACAAAGGGTGATGACACACCTCCACTTAACAAACACAGAACCTCCCAGAGCCAGGGACAGGTTACCTATTAGGCACAACAGCAGGCAGGCAAGGCTTAGAGCCACCATACTTCTAGGAACCCACAAAAAAATTTTGTTTGACTTGTGTACATGCGTGTGTGTGTTATAAGTATGCATATGTGTGTGGTGTAAAGGCCAAAAGTCAATTTGGAGTGTATTTCTCTATTGCTCTCCATTGATTTTTTTTAATTAGCATTTTACATTTCCTTGTACTTACATGTGGGTATGTACATGCCATGATGCTTTGGTGGCAGTCAGAAAACACCGCTTGTCACAGTGGTGGAGAGAAAGTACTTTATAAGCATATAGTCCTCGGGGACCACACACTTAAAAACAGTTATGCCTGGACACACTAGTTCTACCAAGTGTGTCCCAGGTATTAAACTCAGGTCATCAAGTTTGGCGCAGGTGCTTTTACTGGCTGAGCTATCTCACCAGGCCTTCTTATGTTTTAAAAATGTCTTTTTGAAGGGCTAGGGATTGTAGCTTAGTGATGGAGCATTTGGCTAGCAAGCATGAAGCCCTGGGTCCTATTCCCAGCACTGCAGAGAGAGAAACAGAGACAGGCAGGCAGACAGACAGAGACAAAGAGAGAGAGAAGCTTGTTTTAATGAGGAAGGGACCCACAAAGGCAAAAGTGCCCAGAGGCTGAAATGTCACGGTGCTTTGGAGAAAGGACTCCCTCTATAAACATACAGTCCTCAGGGACCACACTGCAGGACCACACATTGCTTGACCTGGTTGGCTACTCTGCCTCCAGCCCCAGTAAAGACACAGCCTCCCCAAGTGCTGTCTGAGTGGGAGGGGCTGTTGCTAGACCAGCCCCAGTCCCACCCCGTGCCAGCACCAGCCCATAAACTGGGTGGTGTGACTGTCTACAAAAGCTCAGAATTTCCCCGAAGCTGCAGCTGCAGCAGCCACAAGCAGCAGCTTCTCGAAGTTGCTGCAACTAAGGCCAGAACTGATCCAAGCCATGCTTGTGCTTACACAGCATGGGCAGGAAGTTTGGAGAAAGAAACCCTTCAGTCCTGAGGTCAGCAGGGACAAGTGGGCAGCTGGCGGGTTTCCAGGGCTGGGTTCTTCTTGGTCACTTGAGCATCCCTTTTCCCAACGGTTGCCAGGATTTCTGGTGGGAGAAACGGAATGGCCTCCCTTATTCATCAGGTCGGCCTGGAACTGAGGGCTCAGCTCTCAGCTCCTCTTTCAGAATAGATGTGACGCTTCCTCTGGCCCTTGGGGGAAAGGGTGGGTAAGATGAGGCCAAGGTAAAGCCTGGGGGAAGCAGATGGCAGAGTCCTGGCCACAGAGGGGACTCACTTGTACCTTTCATGGCAATGCTCCTCTCCAGGCCTCTACTCAGCTCTCTGACCTTGCTGAGCCCTGTAGATTAATGGTCAACTAAAATCACAGCAGGGACAACCGTCTGAGGAAGGGGCTGGGTTACTTCAAGCAGGGTTCAGAAAGTTTGACATATGCTTTGAACTCTGCCTCCCTTGGTCAGGTCTCTCCAGACCCACCCCATGTCACTGCAGCCCACCTGCTTTACGTCTGTACCCTCTTCCTGACCTTGCTCAACTTGGCCCAAGGCTCCAGAGGTTCCATGGTACCTGACAAGCCGTTCATCACTGTTTGGAATGCAGACACTTACTGGTGCCTGAAGAGTTATGGAGTGGATGTGGATGTCAGTGTGTTTGACGTGATTGCCAACAAGGAGCAGAGCTTTCAAGGCCTTAACATGACAATTTTCTACAACTGGCAGTTGGGCACCTACCCCCACTATACAGCCACCGGGGAAGCCGTATATGGTGGCCTGCCCCAGAATGCCAGCCTGGTTACCCACCTCGCTCACGCATTCCAGGACATCAAGGCTGTCATGCCTGAACCTGACTTCTCAGGACTGGCAGTCATTGACTGGGAGGCATGGCGCCCACGATGGGCCTTCAACTGGGACAGCAAGGACATTTATCGACAGCGCTCAATGGCACTTGTCCAGGCAGAACACCCTGACTGGCCAGAAACTTCAGTGGAGGCAGTAGCTCAGGACCAGTTCCAGGAAGCTGCACAGGCCTGGATGGCAGGCACCCTCCAGCTGGGGCAGGTACTGCGTCCTCGTGGCCTCTGGGGCTACTATGGCTTCCCTGACTGCTACAACTACGACTTCCTAAGTTCCAATTACACAGGCCAGTGCTCACTAAACATCCGTGATCAGAATGACCAGCTAGGGTGGTTATGGAACCAGAGCTATGCCCTCTATCCCAGTATCTACTTGCCTCCGGCACTGATGGGCACAGGGAAGGCACAGTTGTATGTTCGACACCGTGTACAAGAGGCATTCCGTGTAGCTAGCGCTTCCAGAGACCCCAGTGTGCCCATACTGCCCTACGTCCAGATCTTCTATGAAATGACAGGTCATCTCCTGTCCCTGGTGAGTCCTCTGTCACCTTGTCTTCACTGTCAGCCTTCCTTGGTAGATAATAAAGCAATAGGTCCAACAGCTGAGTCCACATAGCTTCAGGGTACTTCTATTTTGGGGGGGGAGGGGTCATGTAAATCAAACTCAAGGTCTTGTACAAATTCTTTCCCACTGACTTATACCCCAGTACTCTGTCCAATCATTCCCACATACATGGAACATCTACTTGGTACCAAGTTCTGTGTGGAGCATGGGTGATTCAGAATTTAATAGAAAAATTAGCTCCTGTCTATTTACAGGCTAGACAGAACAGGCTTGCCCCCGGCCCCCCGGCTATCAGCACTAAAGCAGCCTCAGGAGAAGGCTATATATTATTTGTTCCATCCAGTGATGTTGCAGCAGTTCCCACCGGAAGGACGGACGGTAAGTCCCACAGAACTATGCAATCTCCTTTCCAGGAGGAGCTGGAACAGAGCATTGGGGAGAGCGCAGCTCAGGGAGCAGCAGGTGTGGTGGTCTGGGTGAGCTCAAAAAATACATCTACCAAGGTAAGTCGAGGCCTGGGAGGAGGGGTAGGGATGAGGGGAGCCTGGGCCTACTCTTTGTACCCAGGAAGTCCTGGCTGAGTGAAGGTAAGCATCACTTACCTATAGGAGGTAAAGTCTAAGTGGGCCCAGACAGGCTGCGGTCACTTACACTCTGCTTCCCACTCAGGAATCATGCCAGGTCATTAAAGAGTATATGGATTCCACACTTGGCCCTTTCATCATGAACGTGACCAGTGCAGCTCTTCTCTGCAGTGAAGCTCTGTGTTCCGGCCACGGTCGCTGTGCCCGCCACCCCAGTTATCCTGAGGCTCTGCTCACCCTCAACCCGGCCAGTTTTTCCATTCAGCTAACACGTGATGGCAGGCCCCCAAGCCTCCATGGTGCCCTCACACTTAACGATCGGGCAAAGATGGCTATGAAATTCAAGTGTCGCTGCTACCGTGGATGGCATGGAAAGTGGTGTGAGAAGCAGGGTACGTAGTGATTAGCTGGACCAGCTTGCACACGCTGAACACCTAACATACCCTGGGCCTACCTATGACTTCCTCAAATACAGTCACATGCATACAGTCACATGCATACAGTCACAGTCAGGAGTACACTCAACCACTGTCCTAGTCTCATGCACACAGGCACACTCATGGGGGTAGTCACATAGTGACTCAGAATTAAGGGCAGGCACTATAAGGACCTACTTGGCAGAATCATAGGCAAGTCCTTCAGAGTCTATGAGTCAGCAGTCACAAAAGCTGACATTTGCCATATGTCTGCTCTGTGCCAAGACCTGTGCTAAGTAAGCACTAGAAGTCTTCACAATTCAAGACATGCAGGAAGGGTGAATACTTTTTACTTATTTTTTTGCTGTGCTGGAAATTGAACTTAGGACCTCACACATTTTAGTGTGTGCTCTACCACTAAGCTATATTCCTAGCCACTGAGGGGAGTACTTTTTATCCAGTGTTGCCCAGCAAGAAGAGACACGCAGGATGGTGCACACCTGTAACCCCAGCACTAGGGAGACAGAGGCAGGCAGATTTCTGTGAGTTTGAGGCCAGCCTGGTCTACAGAATGAGTTCCAGGGCAGTCTCCAAAGCTACTGAGAAACCCTGTCTCGAAAAACAAAACAAAACCAAGATGTATATTGAAATCTAGGTTACAGAACCTTGCACACCTACTGTGTGTTGGTGGTGCCCTAAATGAGCTGGGAAAATACAATAACACCACTCTACAGGATCCCTGTATCTCCAGAGAGATACTAGCACTGCTCAACCCAACCAACGAAGCTGTCATATTTTACTTAGCTGTTTTGTTAGCTCCTAAAATAGGCAGGTCTCAGAGCCCAGAAAGCACTGGGAAGGCTCGTTTCTTTCACCCAAGTGGGTTGTCTAAAGACAACTGCTTTCCATGATCAGCAGGAAGTCCTCTGATGCACTAGGGCTGCTAGACACTATCAAAGAGGAGACAAAACGAAACTCCATTACTACGAGCCCGGGGCGGAGCGGGGTGAGGTGCAGGCGGAGCCAAACACAAGCAAGCCGCCAGAAGTCAGAGGCAGGGCCTGCAGTGGCCGGGCCAAGAGGAGGCGGAGCCATCGGGAGGAAGTTTTAGGCCTGGCCACCGCCGGAAGGGAAGAAACCAGGGGACCGAATGGGCCTGCACTAGTTCTGTTGTGACGCTCAGAACCAGGGGCGGGGTGTCTAGGTGGTGACATTCCGGGCACGGAGGACTTAGGAGGAGGTACGCCGTCGCCGGGGAAGACTGCTGTGAGTCCTCCGTACGGCTGGGACCAGCGTAGGCAAACCGAGGAATCGGAGCCAGAGACCGCGAGATACCGAACCGTGCGCAGGCTGGACGCGGACCATCCCGGAACTCGGCTTTAACATGTCAGTATCACCCTCACATCTCACACGTTGCTCATCTATCCTCCCCGCGCCGGTGGTCCCCCAAGTGGCGGTGTCGCCCCTCAAGTCTTACCAGCGTTGGCCCTTCCCCCTCTAGAGCATGCTGAGCCACACCCACCCATAATCAAACTTTCAAAACCCCCACTCCCAAAAGATCCATGGCCAGTGTTCCACGAGGGGCAGGTGCATACCCTCTCTGAATACCGGGAGCTTTGCTCTATCTACAGTGGTGGGGCCCCGCAATGAAGGGGTTAAGCCGATCTGGGGAACCCTGTGGCTCTGGGTAGGGGCGGACCCTGAGGTTCCTCCTTCCAGTCCTTGCTTAGCAGCCTAGGAGCTGGGAGGGGACGCTGCTCCGACCGAGGCAGGTAAGGGGCTTAAAGCCCAGGGAATGGGATTTGTGTGAGGGGTGAGAACTGCCTGCCCTCAGGCTCAGGGAAAGTTGGGGAGTCAGCAGGCACTTTATGCGGGGGTCCAGATGAGTAGAGTGGGACTCAACTGTTCAAGCACTACAAAAAATCCCCCAACATAGCCCCTCCTTCCAGCAGAACCTAAAATAAGGTGAGCAAGCAATGAGGTTTAGACATGGGGTTTAGGCCTGGGTCCCCAGCCTGGTGGCCTGGGTCCCCAGTGTGGTGGCCGTTGGACACCTGTAGATTTAAGGAAGCCATGGTCCTTATCAGGGTAGCTATGAAACTCAGACCAGAGGCCAGCAAGCTTGCAAAAGCTACATTCTGTGCAATAGACCAATCTCCATGCTGATGCTGATAGGGCACCATATGTGGCAACAGTTGGGTCTATGCCCAAAGTGCCCTGAACTGGACAGAATCGGAGAGGGGGACCATCAGCTCTGCTCTCCAGGAAGGAAGGCAGGTGGTGGTGATGGGGGGCGGACTGGGCCTGTTTGGGTGGGTGCATGGGTCCCAGGATCCGCTTGATAGCAGGTGTGGCTCAGACAGCTGCAAAAGCACAGAGCTAGAGGAGAGCCGACATGTAGGGAAAAGGAGGGACAGGGCAACTCCTGGGAGTGATCTTTCTTCTGAAAAAGAAAACCCAGGTTGTAGTGAAGTAGAGAGATATCTGGTTCACCCTCTGCCAGGCTAGCCAGCTACAGTCATGGACTACTACAGATAAGACAGGCTGTGCGGGGTGGTGACGGCTGATGCCTGCCATCCTAGGACTTAGGAGGCTGAGGCAGTTGGATCACTACTTTGAGGCAAGACAAGCGTAAGCTACATACCTTGGAGAGAGACAGAGGTGGGGGTGACCCGAACCAAAGCAAGAGATAGCCCGCAAGTGGGCGAGGTTGGTTAGCCTGGTACAGTGAGCTGTTGTAAAAGTCAACAAATTTGTAGCCAGAACTTCTGGGTTCTACCACAGCCTCCAGCACTTACCATGACCTCCCCCCCCAGCCCCTCTCAGTCTCCCTCCAGTGTTGGGGAAGGTCACCTGGGTTCATTCATCCATAGGGATGGGTCTCTTCCTGGACACCTGTACTTTCCAGTGTATTCTCCAGTTCCGAGTTGCATGCCCCTTCCCTCAGTCATTCCCTGCCTCCACCCTGTCTTCCTGACACAGCCAAGCGTGGCTGTTATCCACAGGAGGTGAATCCGTGTATGATTTGATGCCACTGCCTGGAGACTGTGGTCTTACCCTCCAGCCTGGCAATGAGCCACCTGAAACCTAATGGGAAGTGAGTGACCTTGGCTTCCTATCTGCCTCAGCTGAGCCTGGATCCTACCTGTAGGCAAGAGCTGACTCTAAGCCCTGGCCCAGCCACACTGACCCCTACCTTAGACCGGATGGAGCTGATCCTGAGTACCAGCCCAGCCAAGCTGACTCTAGATCCTGCATGCCAGCCAGAATTGACCCTGAGAGTCAACCTGACCAAGCTAACCCTGGATCCTGCACGCCAGCCAGAGCTGTCACTGAGTCCTAGGATAGCTGAGCTGACCCTGGATTCCACATGCCACCCAGAGATGACCCTCAGTCCTGGCCCAGCTGAGCTTACCCTGGATCCTGAACACCAGGCAGAGAAGACCCCAGCCCTCAACCCAGCTGAGTTGACCCTGGAGCCTGTGCACTGTCGACCTGAGCTCCTGAGTGCTTGTGCTGACCTCATCAATGACCAGTGGCCCCGCAGCCGTGCCTCCCGTCTCCACTCCCTGGGCCAGTCCTCAGATGCCTTCCCCCTCTGCCTGATGCTGCTGAGCCCTCATCCCACGCCTGGAGCATCCCCTATTGTGGTGGGCCATGCTCGCTTATCACGGGTACTGGACCATCCCCACAGCCTTTTAGTGGAGACAGTGGTGGTAGCCCGGGCTCTGAGGGGCCGTGGCTTTGGCCGCCGCCTCATGGAGGGCTTGGAGGCTTTTGCCCGAGCCCGGGGCTTCCGCCGGCTTCACCTCACTACCCATGATCAGTTATACTTCTATGCCCATCTGGGCTACCACCTGGGGGAGCCTGTGCAGGGTTTGGTCTTCACCAACCGCCGGCTACCCACTACCTTCCTACGTGCCTTCTCTAAGACACCCTGCCCTCAGCCACCCTGCAAGGGGCCTATCCTAGCTGCCCAAGCTATCCCAAGGAGCTCCAAGGGACCCCCATTGCCACCACCTCCTCCCTTACCCCAGTCTCTGACCACATCACCTCCTCCTTCACCAGGGCCCCTTGCTCAAAGCCTACTAGAGACACGATATCGAGATCTGAAGGGGTGCCCTATATTCTGGATGGAAAAAGACATCTGAAGGCTAGGCACTGTCTTTCTGGGATCCTGAATTGCCCAGAACAGTCCCAGCCTCAGCCCACTTGGCCATACTTTAGCCCCCTAGCCCTTGGGGGCAACCTTAGCCTGTGTATGTTTCCTGGGTACCAATGGGCCAGAAGGTGGCTTAAGAGCTTTGGCTCAAAGCTGTTAGTATGGCTGAATAAAGGCTTCCATTAGGTATGGCTGTGATAGTTTATTTGTTAAACTCCCTGCCCAGATCCTCTATCCCTGCAGAAGCCCCACTATCCAACTTGGCCCAAGAGCCATTGATGAGGTAATATCTGTCCTTTGTTGCTCCTCCTCTGCCAGGCCCAGGGTTCCTTTCCCATTTGCTCATTACCAAGTACCTACTATGTATCAAGCCTGGCACTGGACATTGGCAGTGAAGAATTTGTGTGTGTGGCTGGGAGCCGAAGGGATCTGGGTGCTGAATATGAATTAAGTCAGGGAAGCAAGAAGGCAAGCACTGAGTGTTCTTGAGGCAGAGACAACATGGGCAGCGGAAAGAGGGGGACTTGTGACAGCCACGAGTTGGGGAGGCCTCAGAGAACATGACGGTGCCTTAATAGAGATGGACAACACTGGAGGGGAGCAGCCCAGGGTGCTTGGGGTATGACCTCTCTGAGAGACCCATGGAACACTCTGGAGCCATATTTAACCCCCAGCCCTGCCCCTTTCCTTGAGGGGAGGAATTTGGGAAGTTTTCCCAGCTTTCAGCTTTCCTTGCTGCAAAAGGCATGGCCTTGGCCGTGGACTCAAAGCTCATACCCCCTCTCTCCTGCAGGTTTCCATCTTTGTGGCACGACCATGCAGCTAGGCCTAACCCTGGTGGTGGGGGTAGCCCTGTGCTTGGTGTATGGCCAGTCTTTGCCGCAGGTTCCTGAGCGTCCCTTTTCTGTGCTGTGGAATGTACCCTCAGCAAGATGTAAGGCCCACTTTGGTGTGCACCTACCACTCAGTGCCCTCAGCATCGTAGCCAACTACGGCCAGCATTTTCATGGCCAAAACATCACCATCTTCTACAAGAACCAGTTTGGTCTTTATCCTTATTTTGGACCTAGAGGCACAGTCCATAATGGGGGTATCCCTCAGGCTGTGTCATTAGACCGCCACTTGGCACAAGCTGCCCAGCAGATCCTCCACAGCCTCGGGTCTAGCTTTGCTGGCTTGGCAGTGCTGGACTGGGAAGAGTGGTATCCACTCTGGGCTGGGAACTGGGGCTCCCGTCGCCAAATCTATCAGGCAGCCTCCTGGGCTTGGGCACAGCGGATGTTCCCCGAGATGGGCCCTCAGGAACAGTTCCACAAAGCCCATGCTGGCTTTGAGCAGGCTGCCCGCACCCTGATGGAGTCCACACTGCAGCTCGGCCGGACACTTTGCCCACGCGGACTCTGGGGTTTTTATCGATACCCAGTCTGTGGTAATGGCTGGCATAATACGGCTTCCAACTATACAGGCCACTGCCATGCAGCCGCCATTACCCGAAACAATCAACTCCATTGGCTCTGGGCCGCCTCTAGTGCCATCTTCCCTAGCATCTATCTCCCACCCAAAATGCCACCTGCCTACCATCAGGCCTTCGTCCGACACCGCCTAGAGGAGGCCTTCCGTGCAGCCCTTGCCGGGCACGCACATCCTTTACCTGTTCTGGCCTACGCTCGCCTCACACACCGGAGCTCTGGGAGATTCTTGTCTCTGGTAAGTAAAAGATGAGGTTTAGGGGGTCTGAGTCCAGAGACACAGCTCTGTTCTAGAAAGACCTGAAGAGAAGACATTGCCTAAGGGACTTGGGAAGGTGGTCATCATCTAGGGGTTTTAAAAAGTTCCTATTCTGTTGGGTGGTGGTGGCACATGCCTTTAATCCTAGCACTTAGGAGGCAGAAGGAAGCAGATCTCTGAGTTCGAGGCCAGGCTGGTCTACAGAGTGAGTTCCATGATGGGCTGGAGCTATATAATAAGACCCTGTCTCAAAAACAAACAAAAAGACCCCAGCCTGCAGTAGGGAGACGTGGGTGTGTGCTGGGAGATCTCAATGGGTTAGATAGAATCCAGCCTTTGGGTATCTGGTCTAAGGACAGTTATTTTCTGGAGGTCCTGGGAAGTTACTCAGAGGCTCTGTCAAAAGGGCCCTATCTAGAGGCAGAATCAATCATAGTAGTAAATCAAATGGTACCTTCAATGAAGTTGGGCCCTGATGAATCTGGCCAGTCCAGCTTTGGCTTAACAGTTCTTTGCCCCCAGGATGACCTGGTGAGGACTATTGGCGTGAGTGCAGCACTGGGAGCAACTGGAGTGGTTCTCTGGGGGGACCTGAGCTTCTCCAGCTCTGAGGTGAGCATGGCCCCTCGTGCACACGCTGGAGTCCTAAGTTAAGGGAGAAGCCATGCCGAGTCATAGAGAAGGAGCAATGATGTATACATATCTCTTCTCTCCTTAGGAGGAGTGCTGGCGTCTCCATGACTACCTAGTGGGCTCTTTAGGCCCCTATGTGATCAATGTGACAAAGGCTGCCATGGCCTGCAGTCACCAACGATGCCATGGCCATGGTCGCTGTGCTCGGAGAGACCCGGGACAAATGGAAGCCTTTCTACATCTGAAGCCAGATGGCAGTCTTGGAGCTTGGAAGTCCTTCAGATGCCGCTGTTACTTGGGTTGGGCTGGCCCTACTTGCCAGGAGCCTAAACCTGAGCCTAAGGAAGCTACATAAAGTTAGGAGTTCCTGCCCTAGGTTCTTGTCTCTGCATGCCACTTTCCCAGGCTAGGGAAATTCGTCTTTATGCTTTGTTTAGCTAATAGAACTTTACCAAGTAAATAGGCCACTTCCACCAACACACCTCCCCTCAGAATTCCTAAGGAATAGATAGGGCCTAATAAAAACATAAAACCAGATTCAGAGCCCTCGGAGGTCATCTGACTTAAGGCAATAGAGCAGCCTCAGGGAGTCAGTTCAAGACATTTAAGGTTGCCAGCCAGCCTAGGGCTTTGTTTCTATACCTTAGTGCAGCTACTGAGAAGTCATAGCTAGGGGCAGAGAGACAACCCCTACACTCTTCCCAACACACGCGCATATACACATGCACACATGTGATCTCGCCAAAAAAAAAAAAAAAAAAAGCTAAGGTCTGTTAAATGTGAGGCTATTATTTGTACTCTCATCCATAAAGTCACTCTTTCGTTACTTGAGGTTTGTCTGTCCTCACTATTCTACCAAGTGTCAAACCCTGGCTTCAGTGCAGATACCCCGTTACAAGGGCCTAGTGAAACTTCCAGCAAGGAGGGAAACTACTGAGTTAACAACCCAGGCGCCGCGGGGACAGGGGTAGGAGGAGGGGCAAAGGGGGTACGCAGGGCATTGTGGGTACATAGTTTAGCTGGCGCGGCGTCGGCGTGTGTGCCTCCAGAAAGGACTACCATTCCCGTCGTGCACTGCGCTCAACTCGGGCCGCCCCAATCTATTTTCGCAGATGCCTGGGGATAGTAGTTTCGGCCGCGTGGATGTGGATCTGAACCGGGTGGCGGGGAACTCACCTTCCCAGCGACCCGTTTGACAGGGCGGGGCGCCTCACGAAGATGGTGGCGCGCGCGGCGTGTGGCTCCTGTCGTGTTCCCCAGTCTCAACTCGGTGCACCGGCCAGCGTTTCGCTGGTTTGGAGTCCCCGCCCTCCAGGTCCCTGACCCCGCGCCCCCTTACTGTGTCCCTGACTCCTGGTTCCAGGAATGCCTCGTGCTCGTAAGGGCAATGCGCTCCGCAAGGGTGGTCAGCGCCGTGGAGGTGGTGAGTCCAGGGGCTCCGGTAGAATGGTTCAGTAGTGAGCGGGAGGTGTTTCGTGGTTCCCCTTGGATGTCACCGAGGGTCTTGGGTTGACGAATCTTGCGGGATCAGACCAGTGCAACCTTCCGGAACTCTGCTAAGGCTCGCACGTGCCCCAGCAGGCATTGGCCACGTGTGCGCCCAACTTGAGCTCATTGCCAGCTGTTTTTCGAAATCCCGCGCCCGCAGCGGTGATTTGGCCAACATTTAAGGACCTAGATTTTTCCCATCGCTGCTGGGGGGTGGACAATCACTTTAGACAAAAGCGTGAAGCCAGCCCCTTTGCCAAATACTAGTGCATTTGGTAGACTGCGCAGGGAAGTTAGTGGAGAGGCCTCGTCTGTTCCGTAAACCGGTGAAATGTAATTGGAAAAGTACAGAATTGAGGCCTTAGCAGTTGGGCTGGAGACTCGGTGGACGCTAAGAGCATGAGTCCGTCTTGACTCCTTATCAGTCTCAGCCAGAAGCATGTCCTGTTGCGGTAAACACGTTTAATTCTGCTAAGATAGAGTGCCTGCCAAGCAGTTTTGTTCTGACTGCCACCTAATGCTGCTTGGGTAGGTAATCGTCATTAATATGGTTACAAGGACTAGTACTGAAACCAGTTACTGAGTGGTATCCGATGGAATCATGGGGAGGCCCCGTGAGAGGAGCTCCTGGCTGAGACCTGAGAAGGAAAAGCGCCCCAGGCAGAGAGCCTGTTGTGCAAAGGCCTGGCAACCAAAGGGAGCACAGTACAGGGAAGCAAATAAGGAAGTCTGGGCTGTTTTGACAAGTGACAGTAAGAATAAAGGTGAACCAAAGCCAAGGTGTGGGCTCAACTTCTTCCTTCAGGCAAGTAATGTTAATAGTCCCTAAGAGGTAGGGACTGCCACCGAATCAGAACCTGTCCAGGACTCTGCTGCAGTAAATAGCTCTGTCTCAAAGCCAGTCCTTGGACCCGGAGAGAACTCACACACAGGATTGTACCTGCCCTACTGACACTTTGGGAATCCGCTATGTTCTTTTTCTCAATGCTCAAACAGTCAAGAACTTCTTCCGGTTTTCCACTGCTAGGAGGAGCCATTATATCTATATCTAAAGTTCATGGTCCTTATTGGACCAAAGGAAGCTCAGGAAATAATATATTTGAAGCACAAAGCACTCAGCACACCCACTAGAACCTGGGCTTCTGCTCCCCGAGTTGGCAGGTAGCTTAGTGAGTGTGGTGGCCTGTAGCAGCACCGTTACAAGTCACTTGTTCAAAGGCTAGGCACTGGTCAAATTATAGCTCTGCCAAGATTGGAGGTGGAACAGGGGATGCTAAGGGTATAGCCCAATGGAGAGCATAAGACCCTCGGGTCTGTGTAGTCCTATACCCTGAGCCCTAACCTTTACTTGCTCACTTTTGAGCATAATTGAAACTGGACTACAGGCCTAGGTGGGACTCATCCAGTCTGTTCTGTCACTGTGTGGTTCCTACTCTCCTTAAAGCAGCTGTGCCCTCCTGGGGTCCCCACTCACCAAGTCTGGCAGGTTGTCCCTGGGTAGGCCTAGCACCTGTGCTCCCTAGCATCAAGACATCCTCCCCTTTTTCCTCGCTTCCGAATTCAAGTCCCTGTGCAGCTTAAGCTGGCCTTGGTTTGCTCATCTCTGTGATGGGATAGCATTCATGAAGTTACACGAGGTGCCCTGAGTCATCATCCCTCACCAGTGCAAGCTGGTCAGATAGCAGTTTCGTGTTCCCCAGGTGCCAGGAGCAGTACCCAAGCCGACTCAGGTTCCAGCGAGGATGAAGCAGCCAGTGAGGCCCGGAGTACCACCAGTGAATGTCCCAGCCTGCTCAGTACCACTGCAGAGGACTGCCTGGGTGAGAGTGGGTTGAAGTGTGACAGGGACGCAATTAGGGCTCCACTGGGTAAGGACAGAATTCAGTGATACCCGGCTATCTTTGCAGGTGGGGAGGCTGTGGATGAACAGAGCCAGCAGGACAACCTGGAGGAGAAGCTGAAGGACTCCGTGGACTGCCTCACTGACAAGAGGTACCTCTGGCTGCTGGCCAGCTTCTACACGCAGGGCCTTTGACATGCTTCCGCACGCTCAGCCTTTGCCAGATGGAACCAAGGGAGCCATCACCCATGTGAACCCTTTCTTTGTCTCCCAGTGCCAAGACCCGGCAAGGAGCTCTGGAGAGCCTACGCCTGGCCCTGGCCTCCCACCTGCTTCCTGACTTCTTACTGGAGCGCAGCCTCACGCTGGCGGATGCCCTGGAAAAGTGCCTTAAAAAAGGTCAAGTCCTGGGCACTTGGGGAACCCTAGCTAGGCAGGTGTTAACGCTTGCTGCATGCGCTAACTGGAAAGCATCCTGTAGGGAAGGGTGAAGAACAGGCCCTGGCTGCTGCGGTGCTAGGCCTGCTCTGTGTGCAGCTGGGCCCTGGACCCAAGGGTGAGGAGCTGTTCCATAGCCTGCGGCCGCTGCTAATCTCGGTGCTCAGTGACTGTACTGCAAGCCCCGCTGCCCGACTCCATGTGAGTATGTCCATGCCCCATGGACCCTCATCCCAGAGCAAGATGTCGGGGTCTACCTATCTTCAGAATCCCTAACCTAAAGAGGGTGAGCCTCATGTGAAGTTCCTGATGTTGAGCCATGGTAGCCTAGCTTTGTCCTCTTCCTGACAGTGCGCTTCTGCTCTTGGCTTGGGCTGTTATGTGGCTGCCACTGATGTCCAGGTAAGTGGACTTTGGACATGGGTTACGGTGTAGTAGCTAGACTCAGTGGCTCTGTCTGTGAACCTCTACTGTCTCCCTGTGCTCCTAGGACCTGGTCTCTTGCTTGGCTTGCTTGGAAGGTATTTTCAGCTGGTCCTGTGGCCCTAGTGGCTCCCCTGCTGCTCTGGTCCCTGCCAGCCTACATGGCCTGCTCTGTGCTGCCCTGCAGGCCTGGGCATTGCTGCTCACCATCTGTCCTAGTACCCACATCAACCACATCCTCGACAGGTAGGAACAGCTGCCTACTGGGAGTCTGGGGATTGTGAAGGGACCCTCAACCCCTACAAGAAACCTAGCTCGCTGTTTCCTTAGGCAGCTGCCCCGGCTGCCACAGCTCTTGTCCAGCGAGAGCGTGAACCTGCGGATTGCTGCTGGCGAAGCCATCGCTCTACTCTTTGAGCTTGCCCGGGACCTTGAGGTGCGAGGGAAGTACCTTCTGGCACCACACACACATGCGCGCACACGCACACACAAATCTTCAGTCTTGGATCATCTTGTAGGGGAGGTAACCCCAACACTTAACATGCTAGGTGCTCTAGTGGGGATTCTGAGCAGAGGTGAATGGCTGGAGAGAGGCCAAGGGGAGCGTGAGAGAAGAGGAGCCAGGCAGAGGAGAGCAGTGAGCAGAAGAAACACTTGGTCAGCACCATGCCCAGTTCCAGAAGAATTCAAGCTTCTACCAACACCTCATTGTTCCCACACAGGAGGACTTTGTTTATGAGGACATGGAGGCGCTCTGTGGTTCCCTGCGTACTCTAGCCACTGACAGCAATAAATACCGTGCCAAGATTGACCGCCGACGCCAGCGCTCCATTTTCCGAGCCATACTGCACTTCGTTGAGGTGTGTGTGAAAACATGAGTATTCCTTAAAAATGGATCCCCAAGGGTTGGGTGTGGTGGTCCATGCCTATAATTCGCCACCCCCCCCACACACACACCCTCAGGAGGCAGAGGCATGATGGTGAATTCCAGGACAGCTAGGGTTATGTAGGCCCTGTCTCAACACTCCCTGTAACACACAAACACACGAGAATGCTCCCAGGCATGCTAGCCAGTCCCGCCATGGGCCTTCTACCTACAGGGTGGTGACTGTGAGGAGGAGACAATCCGCTTTGGACTGGAAGTACTCTGCATAGACTCCTGGGCTCGCCACCGCATCTACACAGCCTTCAAGGATGTGCTGGGCTCGGGCATGCACTATCACCTCCAGGTGAGGGGCTTTTCAGGGAGGTCTGCCTAGCTTGACTGCTTCAGAATGCCTTTAGTTAATTGCCTTGTCTTCAGAACAACGAGCTTCTCCGGGACATCTTTGGCCTCGGCCCTGTGCTGGTGCTGGATGCCGCTGCCCTGAAGGCCTGCAAGATTTCACGTTTTGAAAAGGTTTGCATCTTGGGCACCTTTATCTTGCCTCCTGTTCCCTGGAGGCCTAGAGCAGTGAGCGGGCTACAGGAGGAGCCCGAATTTTCCTTCTCGGTTCACCAGGCTCCCTTCTTTACCTCCTTCAGCACCTGTACAATGCTGCAGCCTTCAAAGCCCGGACCAAGGCCCGGAGTCGTGCCAGGGACAAGCGGGCAGACGTCTTGTGAAGCAGACTGGCCAATGAGAAGGCTACCCATACCCTTACCATATTTTTAACAGAAGACAGAGCAAGAACTGGTCCCCACCAGTGATTGTCACTTTATTATTATTTTTTTAATGATGAAACCAAAAATAGACAAATGTGGGAGGGCCAAGGGATCAGGACACTTAAGACTCTGGCCCTCTGTATCTGCACTCAGCCCTGTGGCTATGGCCTCATCCTGTCCTGTCTCAGGTGAAACCAAATGTGCACCATTCGCAGAGCTGAGGGGCAGGTGAGAAAGGACTGACCCTTTCCTTTTTTAGACTTTGCCCCCTGGGGCCACTTCCTTTGGGGGTCTGGCACCTGTCCACAATGGCATACGGTAGGCAAAGCTACCTAGCATGAATGTGTGTGCTGATTTTTAAAAATGACAGAGTATTAAACAATACTTGTTCCCCCTGTGACCTTTATCCTGAGTCCTTTGCTGACCTTCCCTCTCATCTCCCACCCTAGGCTTGGCCCCAGCTAGATCTCTATTTCATCTTTGCCCTCCAAGGCAGTCTGCCTGCATGGTCCCCCACCCCCAACTCAGCTTAGCTTGTCTGAGAACTGAGACTGGACCCCCCACTAGGATGCCTGGCAGAGTGGGTGGCCAAGCGGGGACAGCTATTTCTAGACTTCTGAATCTCCTATCTGGGGGTGGCCAAAGGGTGCTGACAGGCCATAGGAGGAGCCAGGAGGCGGCTGGTGCCCCATCCTCTGACCTTTGGCTATCCAAAGGAGAGCCTTGGCACCAGAAGGCTTGATCAGGCCTAACCTGAAGAGGTCAAGACCGGCAGGAAGCTATTGAGTCACGTCAGGCACTTGTACAGAAATCTCACCAAGGAAATTGTGTAGATGTTGCTAGCCATCAATGGGAGAACAGAGACCTGCCAAAGGCCCCTTTATCTCCCCCCTCACATACAAATGGCATCTCAGCTGGGTGCCCGAGCTTCGCTGGAGTTGAGCCTCCTTAGCTGACTGAGGCTAGCCAGGCGCAATTTGAGCAGCGTCTCCTCTTGTGTGCGCAGTGTGTGTGCCAAGACCCTCAGGGATTCGCTCTGCAGCACTGGGGATGGGAAGACATTTGTGGGACCTTGTCAGGCTTGCCATTCCAAATCTCCAACCAACCCAGCATCAGGGGTTGCCCACTGACCCATGCCCCACCCTTTATTGCTGCATTTGCAGGTGCCCTGGGTTTCCAGCCCTGCTTGTCCCTACCACTTAGGTAGACAGCCAGGATGGCTAATGCCAGGCAGGTGAATACTAGCAGTGCCAATAGCAGTAGGAACCCCCCACGGCCACACATGGGGCTGCAATCAGCTTGGGTACACAGTGCTGGCGGCAAGACACCCAGAAGCTCTTCCCACGTCTGTGCCTCTTCAGCCAAATAGGGCTGTAGTGAACCTGCAGGGAAGATGGTTTATCAGGAAGGTGGTAGCCAGAGCATCCATCCCCGCCCCCCTTCGCACCCTTACCTCCACTGTGTAGGTCACTGATGGACTCCACTCGGTGCAGACGTACCTCCTGCACGTTGTTAGGAGCCAGTGTTCCCCTGCTCCTCTGGTTCTGCATTGGCAACACAGTGTCTATGGGGGCAGTGGGGCTGATGTGAGCAAGCCAGTCCCTCCTTACCTTATAGGTAAACTCAGGCTACAGGGACTTGGGACTTATGGAAACTACACCAGTGGCATTTGGTTCCAAATTCCCTACAATTTCAGGAAAGACTCAGTTTTGATGCAGGGTTCCAAAGGCCTAGTCCGTGCATAGGGATCTTCCCATGTTCACAGTCAGGCATTCCTCCCCTGTTTACTGCTAGCAAATAGTTAGTTCATCAACCTAAGCCCACAGCTAGCAAGTTTGCCATCATTTCTGACCTGATGGTATGGGGCCTACTCCTAGGCAAAGCAACTGCCTTCCTGACAGATAATGGTTCGGCTGCTCTTCCCGGAGCCCTGCTGTTTTCACTCAACAGCACTGCGGGAGCCCCCTTTTCTTCTTAACAGTTTCATATAAATTTGAGGACTCCTTCCGGCCTCCCTCTGAGGTTATCTGGGCATTTAGGTTGTTTCCAATTCCCTTTGGAAATTAACCCCCAGGACGTCGATGATTAAATATGAAGGTTTTCCCCACTTTCCTGAAAGTCATTGAGGACAATTCTCAGAAGTGGAGTCACTGGGCCTGAGGACAGAGACTGTAAAGCTATCATCAGAATTGTCTTCTGAAATCCTGTCCAGAGCCCAGCAATACAGCATCACCATTAGGCATCCCACTGGGGAAAAAAATGGATGCGTGTGCACGTGGAAGCCAGAGGTCTCAGACCTGGCACAGGAACTCAACAGAGGCCAGGCTCACTAACTGCAGAGCTCCCCACCTCCCCACTCCTGTCTCCACCTCACCAGACCTGGGAGGAGACCCGTGTGCACTCCTGTGACCTGCAGTCCGCCTCCCAGTCATAGGGACTTACAGATAGCAGCTGACTTTTGCTTGTGAGCATGTCAAGGGGCAGCTCCAGCACGTCACAGGCTCTGGGGATATGAACTCTGGTCCTCCGTGCTTGCGAGGCAAGTTTTTGCCTTGATATATATTTGCTAACTTGAGAGATGAGAAACAGCTTGACTTTGCCAATTACCCTTCCACAGGTTCTGCCCATCTAGTCACTGACTCTGTGGTTCCCTTATGGTTTTCTTTATTTCAGATTTTGTTTTTGGCGTACTGCCTCACTATGTGAGTGACCTTTGCTGGCTTGGAACTCATTGAGTAGCCTAAGCTAGGATGGGCTTACCCTCCAAATTCTCTTGCCTCGGCCTACCCATTATTGGTATTTCATGTGTGTATCACTGTACCCAGCTTTGTGATGTGTTAGTGGTGTGTGTGTAGCGGATACCCACATGTGCTTAGATCCTTGTGCAGATGTGTAGAGAGCAGAGGAGGACCTTAGGTGTCCTTGTCTATTCTCTGCCTTATTCCTCTGAGGCAGAGTCTCTTCATGAGGCTGGAAATCAGGTTTTGCTTTTTTTGATTAGGGTGACTGGCAACCAGCAAGCCCCAGCGATCCTCCACTTCCGATTTACACAGCACCGGAGTTATAAGGCACACAGACCACACCTAGCTTGTTATGTGGGTGGGAACTGAGATCTGAATGAACTCTTGTTTTTTGGTTTTGGTTTTTAAAGACAGATTTCTCCATCTCACTTTGTAAACCAAGCTGGCCTCAAACTCACAGAGATCCTCCTGCCTCTGCTTCCCGAGTGCTGGGATTAAAGGTGTGAGCCATCACAAACTCCAATCTTCAAGGTTATGCAGCCAATGTTTTTAATCACTGAGCTGTCTCTTCCCTTCCTCCTTCCCCGTTTGTTTGAGATGGGCTCAGAAAGTTCCCAGACTGGTCTTGAGTTCCTGGTTAACTCAAGTTCTTTCTGCTTCAGCCTTCCAGTTACTAACAAAATATTTATAATTTCTAAGTAGCTCTAACTGCACTTTCTGCTGGTGTTATTTGACTGGATATTCATTATTTTGAAACAGGGTGTCACTACGTAGCACTGGCTAGCCTAGGACTCGTTATGTAGAGCAGGCTGGCCTTGAACTCAGAGGTCCTCCTGCCTCTGCCTCCCAAATGTGCACCGCCAATGCCTTTTATTGGATTTTGTTTTGTTTTAGTTCTGCTCCACCAGAACTCCAGATGCTGCGGGGGGGGGGGGCGAGCTAGGTAACAGTGTGGCAGGACACTGGGTAAGGGTGACTTTGGGCCCGCTAATGTGCTTGAAGCTGCCCCTTGACATGCTCACAAGCAATTCAAACAAAAATAGATGCTCTCAGTCCTTAGGCCTGGCTGATGAACTTAGGTCACATTATAAAGGGCCAAGGTGGGGGGGGCTTTATATTTGAATATATTGTATTTGCTACAGAAAAAAAGTACATGGTAGATGTTACAGTTCAATCATTGCCCCCCCCAAAAATGTAGACATTTCCCCCCACTTAGTAGAGGGCAGGCCCTTTCTCTGCAGTATGAAATACGAAGGGCCGCTGAGATGGCTTAGCAGGTAGAGGCACTTGACTGGCAAAGTGTCAGTCTTGACTAGGCTGAGACTCTCCAGTTTAGGATATTTAGGCCCAAGGTAGGGCAGACCAGAGGCCTGGCTACTTCCTAGTCCCTGGGCCAGATGTTGAAATGCTTCCTGGAACCACTCTGCACCCCAGTTCCCGCTTCTTTGCTGAAGGAAGAGCTGAACTGCTTGGCAGCTCCCCAGATGCCCACACCCACTTGGATACAGCCTATAGTACCCATTCTGAAATAGAGAGCTACAAATCCCTCCCCACGGCCCATAGCAGGGGAAACTGAGTCAGGACCTGAGAAACGGAGGAGCTCTAAGTATGACGGATCCATTCTTCATCAATGCAAAGGGGTAGGTCCCTAGAGCAGGGTGTGGAAAGATTACCCAAGGCAATGAGGGCTCTCTCCATAGGGCACTGGGACCAGACCCCTGTCCTCCCTCGTGGCTACCCTCTCCTACCTTCTTGGGTCTCCTCAGGCATGGCGTTCATATGTATTCGGGCCCCGATGAGAGTGCCCAGTAGCAGAACTGGACAAAGACAGCAGTGGCTCTTTTGGGATCCTGGGAAAGGCCTCGCAGCCTCCCAATTTGGTCTTAAAATAGGCCTGAGCTCACTTCCCTGGGCTATATTTAGAGGGGGCATCTCTGAGCCATGAAAAGGGGCAGAGTGACCCAGATGGGTCGTCCTAGACTACCTGCTTAGTGATGGGGCTCAGCCAAGAGCAAGCGTCTGCTAGCACATGGACCCAGGGAACTGTGAAAACTATACCAACTCTATACACACGAAGGCTTGTAGGCTTTGGGGCCTTCACCCAGAAAGTCGGCATGTATCATGTGCCGTGTAGCTATGACAAAAGAAATCCTGCACGTCTCCCTACACTCAGCCGTCGCTCACTCCCACAGCCCAGCCACCTCCTTCTAGCACCCACCCGTGTGACCAGCTAGGACCAGAGTGTGGGGGTGGTGGACAAATGACGCACAATGTCATAGGGATCCGGCAGCCCCACGAGTGAGCACCCATGCTGACCAGTGGACAGACTGGGATAAAGTTGGTATTTCTAGTATTAAACTAGCCTTAGGTAGAGAGAACCTTGAGAGTGTAAAACAGAGCAAGGGGTCCTAGCCAATAGTACTGAGAATAAAAAATGCAGAGACATGACTAAAGGATTTAGCACAAAGTAGTCTTGATCCTCCCTCTCCCTCCTCTCCACAAGGGCTTAACAGGCCACATCGGGGTGAGGGAGGATGTACAGCAGCGCTGCTCACTCTGGAGGGCAGCCGGTCCAGTTTCCAGGCCTTAGTGAGTGTGCGAGCGAACTCTGTTCTGCTTCTTCTCGACTGTGCAAAGCAAGGCTGGGAAGGGGGTCTACCTTCCCAAACATCCTGAATCCATCACGTCACACTATCGTATTAGCCTCCTTGACGTTCCTCAGACTTGGCAGGTTTGTTCCCCATGCCAAGGCTTTGGACTGGTTCTTCCGTCCTGGAATGTTCTGCCACCAGACATCCTGTGACTGGTTCCTTCTTATCTTTCAGCTCAAGTGTCAGCCCTTCAGTGAGTTCTGCACACATTCTTGCCCACAACATCCAGTACTGTTTGTTTTTCCATCGGAGAGCTTAGCCCTGCCATTAATAGTTGGAGAATGCACTGCGCATGTCAGCACCCCCGGAGGCTCACTGGAGCCAGCTGGATCATCTAATACCACTTTGGATCTTCACTACAGCAAACTTTTTTTTTCCCCCTTCAAGACAGGGTTTCTCTGTGTAGCCCTGACTGACCTGGAACTAGCTCTTTAGACCAGACTGGCCTCGAACTCACAGAGAACTGCCTGCCTCTGCCTCCAGAGTGCTGGGATTAAAGGTAAGTGCCACCACCACCCAGCAGAACAGCAATTTAAGATGAGAAAAATTTAGGACTTTGGACTGCTAGGACAATACCCGTAGCTCCCAGCAAGGTCAAGGACTACCTGTTATCTGCTGGGGCCATTCCAACGTCAGCTGATAATGTGTTTATTGCATTACTTTAGTACAGTTGGCCTGCCTCACCTGGAATCCAACAGCCTAATCTGTTCATAACTTTCTGCTCGCTGCCCAAGAAAGAATGCTTCCCCCAGGGCAGACACTCAAGACAGCTCTCTGGCCCTGGTCTACTATGGAGCCCCACTTCTCTGTCCGCTCCATGCAGGCTAGAACCTGAATTAAGCCTGGACTACTCTTCTGAGGCTACATTCGCGGGTTATCTTGTTAACAATTTAGCTGGCTCGGCTACCCTTTGGCCAGGGCCTATGTATTATGAGTTAGGTGTCTCTCTATTGGCCCAAGGACCTCAGTGTGCCCCAGCCACAACGCGTATGTCTTTCTGACGTTTGCCCCCTCTTCTGAGTGTCATATCCAGCCTGGTCCCCGGTGTGGGGACAGCCCAGTCACCAGTGTGCTGCACTACGTGGCCCACGCTCAGCACGCAGCTCAGAGGCATGCATCCGCCTGTTGCGACCCTTCCGACGTGACTCTGCTGCCACAGAGTGGGGTCCAGGCTGCGGACGGGGCCCAGGCTGCGGGCGGCACATTCGCAGGGAGTTTGCCCCTCCACCGCCGCCCGGCTCCACCAGCTGCAGGAAGTCTCGGTACCAGAGTTTAGGGCCTGGGGGTGCAGGGGCTGCTGCCTCCTCAGCCCGTGCCAGTCTTTCGGCCTGCACCGCACTCAGCACGTGCAGCACCAGGCGACACAGTGGCCGTGAAAAGCCTTGTTCGACCGCAACGCACAGATACACGCCGGAGTCCTGGCGCCGCAGCCTACGCAGCAGCAGCCCCCGGGATGTCCGCTCAAGTCGCTCCTCGGCAAGCACCTGCGTGTGAGGGCAGGCACAGAAGCAAAGGGTCATTTGGAGCCAAAGCTGGACGAGGATCATAGATGGCGGCCATACTCACTTAGAGGCTAGGTGCGCAGGAATAGGAAGCCTTAGGATGAAGATTCTATCTGGGTGAGAGGGGTTAGTTGAATGAGGGATGAGGGAGACAGGAAACCTCAGTGGGCTGAGGTAGAGGGTGGGTCAGGAGTCCAGTTGGACACAGTGGGGCATCACTGGGCTGTGGAGTTCAACTAAGGACTGAACGGGTAAGGAATCTGACTTCAGGGCCTCATTGAACTGGACTCCTGTGAGGTACAAGTCAAAGGCCTCCTTGGGCAGGGGATGGCTTCTCTTAGATGGGCCTGCTTAGGAAGGGTGGAGGGAGGCACACCTGGGTGTGAGCCACCTCCCCTGCACGATGGAAGGTCCACTCCACATGCGCCTGTAGCGAGCGGGGCTCACACTCCAGAAAGGCACTGCCGTTCTCCACGCCTAAGACCTTCCGCTCCAACAGCGCAGGGTGAGAGGAGTCTTGAGACATGAAGGTAAAATTCAGACAAGGTAAGGCTGGGTGTGGCAATTTCAAGGCCTGAGGGTAGGAGTTGATGGGATACTCACCCCCAGAGCACAGGGTGCTAGGGTCACCGTTCCTTATGTCTTGCCTTCGGAACCGCCTGAGGAAGATATTAAAACCTGTAAACCCTTCTCTGCTGGTGGTGGAGCAGTAAGTGACCCCGCCCTCCCAGTGGCCCAATCCAGACTCCAAGCCAGCCCACCTCTTGGCAGTAGGCTGGAAGCGTGTGCAGGCTGATCCATCCCAAGCACAGTAAGGGTCACGGGCCAGGCAGCATTCTGCGCAGGCGCGGCCTAGGGTCGTGCAGCGATGCAATGCAATCTGGGCCACCGCACTCGGCGATGCTACGTAGAGCTGGTGCTAGAGGGCACAAGAACTCCAGTCTGATTGAGGGCAGCCCTTACCTGGCTCCCTTCCGTCAGGCAGCCTTCTACCTACTTGACAGATGCGAACACTAAGGTCACATTGTCTAGCAAAGCACAAGCTATTCCTGAACTCTGGGCTGTGAAGACTAAGGAAAAGCAAGACAGTTGGGGTGCTGGCTGGTGGTGCTCCTCAGAGTTCAATTACTCACCCTTTTAGAGGAGATTTGCATGCTGGTGATGGTGGCAGAGTCCTGAAAGGGAGGCAGGACATGAGAATCAGCGTTCAATGAGTTGGGGTGATGTGTCCTAGAGTGACTGGGGACGAAGCCTCACCTCAAGCACCTGCAGCTCTTCCAGGAGAAGCCCCTCAGAGTTAGGCCGGCTGCCCTTGGGGACCGAGATCACTTTCAGCACTGTGCCCACATCTGTGGGAGTGAGAAGAGGGAGCGACTTGCTTTTCCCTGCAAGCAAGTGCAGTGCCCGCCTGAGTGCTGTGGGGTGTCATTGTAACTGGGCAAAGGCGTGTTACATTTGTTTCTGCTGCATTTGTTTAATTATGTAAAAATGTGTTTACTGTTGCACCTTGCCAGCCTAAGGCACCTGATTGGGCTAACAAAAAGCTGATTGGGGGCTGGAGAGATGGCTCAGTGGTTAAGAGCACTGGCTGCTCTTCTAAAGGTCCTGAGTTCAATTCCCAGCTACCACCTGGTGGCTCACAACCATCTGGTGTTCTCCTCTGGTGTGGGGGCATGCATGGAGGCAAAATGTTGTATACATAACAAATAAATCTTTAAAAAAATAAAATAAAAAGCTGAATGGCCAATAGTTAGGCAGGAGCGGAATAGGCAGGACTGGCAGGCAGGGAGAATAAATAGATGAACGAGAGAATGAGGGAGAAAGACAGGGAGATGTCAGCCAGCAGACACAGTCGGGCATACAGAGGGAAAGGTAAAAAGCCCTGAGGCAAAATATAGATTGAGAGAAACAGGTTAATTTAAGAACTAGCCAGAAACAAAGCTAAGCCAGGCTGAGCATTCAAAACTCTAACAAGTCCCTGTGACCTAAAAGAAAAAAAACCTGGTATATCCATGCACACGTGCATGAATGTGTGTGTGTGTGTGTGTGTGTGTCTGTACGCACATGCACAGGCATTGTCTCCACCTTCATCGCGGTTAGGGCATGAAAAAGTGAAAATTGTAAGTAAGTTAGAATGAATAGCTAGGGCAGCCTTCGGAAAGTGGGGCCATAGCCCAGACAAAGGTGTAGATATTAGATGGGGCTCTGTGTCCTATGGACTAGCTATTGTGATGAGACCCTGACCTGTACCAATGAAGAGAACATCGTAGTGTCCATCGGCAGCTGCTACGCGGTCTGCAGCGATCTGGGTGAAGGTGTACCCAGCTCCCACTTGGAGGAAGAGAGGGCGCCCCCCCACGGGCAGGACTGGGTTGTACATGAGAGGGTGGTTCCGAGCGAACTGGATAACATCATCTGGGAAGTCCTTGGTGGAACTGAAGGTGCCAAAGGTCTTGCTGGGGCACTACGGAAGGCAAGGCACGTCAAGCAGAGATACACACTTAGGATTTCGTGGTCAGCCCCTTCATTCAGAGCCTCCAGGAACAGGAAAGGTAAGAAGGGACAAGAGCCTTTCCCGGTGAACCTTAGGCTGAAAGGGCACATGGTCTCACTCTGCAGTTCTGTCATATGGGGGCGACATTTCTTCACCCATACCAGAAGGAAGAAATCGGACCCCCGACAAAACCCCCAGGCCAAAGTCAAGTTCTCTACCCTTGAGACTTCGAAGCTGATTGTTGCAAGCAGTCCCTAGCAACGCACCATGCCAGGTCGTGGGTAGGGGACACGACCCTGGTAGGACACCCACTGATGTGTAGGCCCCTCCTTGTGAGCAAAGGGTCCCAAGAAGGCTCGGCGCACGTCATTCATGCTGTATACGCACACAGCGGAGCCCTGGAAGACGCCACTGCGAGCAATGAAGAGAACGAAGTGAGCGCCCGCAAGCCAAACTGACTGCCCAAGGGAACTCCCACTTCCGGCCCCTCACCTGGAGGTGGAAAAGACGGCATAGAGAAGTGGTGTCTGGCGGTCCCGGGAGGTCAAAAGAAACACATCCTCTGTAAGAAAAGGAAAGGTTGGCAGAGCAGTACACACCACCCCAGGCTCCTGGATTCTGCACCCTCGGCTCCTCCCCTGATGCCGTCTCTCATTTAAGACACTCACGAAGTTGGTCAAAATGGGTGTCACCCTCAACTCCAGGTACTGAACACACAAGCCTCGCCTTCAGAAATGTGGTCCATTTGTTGACCAAGCTGCGCTGGCCACCCAGGTCATTCTGTTCACAGGATCGGAGGGGATGAGCACAAGACCATTCATTGCAGGCAAAGGGTCGGAGCAAAGGTAACCAGGGAGCGAATGGCCCAGTGTCTCCTTACCCTGCAGATCTGGCCAACGCGGGACACAGTCATTCGTCCCATTGCCGGTGCTGCTTCCACCGCAGACTCACGGAAGAAGAAATAGATTTTATCGTCGTCAGGGTTCTCGCTCTCTGGGATCCAAAAGACCTTGACAAACTTGGGTTCTAGACCAAACAGGAGGCATGGTATCAGCGGGTCCTAATCCTGGCCCCAGCATTTTACCCATCAGTAGACTCCTGCAACTCCAAGACCCATCCCCAAGATCAGCATCTGCAAAGCAAGAAGCAGCCACGAGGGGGCAGTAGAGACCATAGCTACAAGCACAAGCAGGCTGTCCCGCTCCCCTTTACAGGGTTTCTGATCATGCAACACTTTCTTACACGTGCCAGGAAAAGACGGAGATGGGGTATCTGTTTTCACCTTCATTCATAAACTTTTCCTCCCTACCAGATCAAATACTCCCTCTCCCTCCTTCCGTTCCTCCTACTGTCCCATAGTAAAGGACTCCTATCGGTACTAGTTCTCTGAGTTTGTTTCTTGGCTGGCCTCAGGGCCTTTGAGTTAGTCATTCCCCTTATCTGGAATGCTCTCCCAATTCCGTTAGCTGGTTTTCTTGTGTTCTGGAAGCTGTTAATAACTTGTACCTCCTCCCAGCAACTACTTCCTTTCCTCAACCCAAACTCCTTTTCCCTTTACTTTCCAGGGGCGTCATGGTCCCCGGAATTTATGTCATTATGTGCTTGTTCTGAGATTCATGGACTCAAAGGCGCTTGCCCGGTTCTGGGACCCTGGCACAGTGCCTGATTATGGGACACACTTGGAGAGTCTTCACCCATCGCTCTCTTGCTTTTTCTTTGTGTGGCATCTTCCCTGTGGAGGATGGCAGTTCCCTCCCAGGTGTTCCCACTAAGCTTCTCACCATTGAGCCAGCGAGAATCATGGGGTTCTGTTCGGAGACTCGGATTCTGGCCCAGGCTGCGGAAGATGGTAAAGTCCCGGCCCATGAGGTCTGCTGCCACCCCCGAATACAGTTCTTCCCCTGCAGACAGGGCAAGGGGTGTTCAGCCAGCTGCAAACTATCGGAGTAAAAGTTGCCTAGGGAGTTCTGGGGGTGCTCAGGGAGTCAAGGCTATAGGGTATCTGAGGGGGTGCCCTTGGGACATGTGAAGTTCTAGGATTTCCAGGGGGGTCTAGAGTTACGTTGGGTGCCGCCTTTGGACTCACCCACCAGCACGGAGGCAGCCCGGTGCCTTGGGTCATAAGGGCTCTTTCCCTTGCCATCCTCAAGTTTCTTCAGGTCCAGTCTAAGCATGGGTTCCTGGGAGGTGTGTGGGGGCTGTTAATGCCAGGTCCTCCACCGTGACCCCCGCTTCCCTGCTCTCAAGTCCTGGTTTTACCTCCAGCCGGTGGCCCACTTCCACAAAGGCACAGGTTGGGTGGAAGGCCCCGGTGCCACAGGCCAGCAGGTGTGTGTGGTTATAGGTGTGCAGCAGCTTCACAAAGTTCATGCACTCCGTCTGGTAGGCAGGTGGGAGAGGGGTGGGGCAGGAGGAGGCAATCAGGCTTTCCCCAGGGAGACAGCCCTCGGGAGTTACAGTTCAGTCCAGGGAAGCACTAACAGGGACCCCAGGGACCCCAGGGACCACAGAGACCACAGGGACCACAGGGACCACAGAGACCCCAGGGACCACAGGGACCCCAGGGACCCGAGTGCCCTACTGTCTGACAAGTCCTGCCTATCCTCACAGGGTGGCTACATGAGGAAGTACACATATGCACAGCCCCCCCACCCCGTGACTCAGATGCCCCCAAGAACAACCCTGACTCACCACCTCCAGACATCATCAGCCTTGACCTCCCTGCCCTTACCCTAGCCAGAACAGGCTAGCCTCTCTCTCAACCTCTCAACCCTGGGGTGAGGGCCTCCCCACCCCCACCCTCCTCCGTGTGCTCCCCCCTCCCCGTTGAATAGCCGACACTCACACCAATGTCCTTCCCTGCCCAGTTGCACTCTTCGCGCCATTCCACAGGGGCCGGCCAGGCCAGCTATGGGGTGGGAACACAGGTTAGGGACTTGGGATGTTCTTTATTTGGGGATTTCTCCATCCAGTTGCCCACCCCTTTGGGTTTCTCTAGAGCCTAGGGCTTAGACAGTCTGGAGTAGGATCCTAAGGCTTTGCCCTGGGGTAGCACTTATACTGGGTAAGATTAGGGGTCCCTGGCACCTTCTTGGCTCGTTTGCTGATGTTATCGAGGCTGAGGGAAGCCACATGGTTCTCAGCACCCACGAACAGGCGTCCGCGCTCCTCATCCACCAGTAAGGCTTCGTAACAGCAGGTGCGCTCCAGTCTGAAGGTTCGGACACCATGCTGGGCCTGTAACTCTGCAGGGAGAGATACACCGAGTACTTGCCTGCCTGTCATGACAGGAACATCCTCAAGGCCCTGCCTGGTTGTCTGTCTACAGACCAAGGCTATTTGTGTGACCCAAACCACACACATGGACACTTACAGGCATGTGAGCTTATGTGTATGAAGACTGGCCCACCCAGGTACACGGACAGAGTTACAGGGTAGGTGGTGCAGCGCCCAGTCAGGAGAGAGAAGATTTAGGAAAACATGTACAGACAAGCGGATTGCCATGCTGGGAGGCCAGGCTCATGGACACCAGAATCTAGGAGAGGCAGAGCAGGTAGGAACGGAAAGGCAGAATTCCATCCCTAACAAGTCAGGCTTCCCTGTCACCCTCTTTCCAGCTTGGATTCAGCAGTTGGCCACCAAATGCCACTGCTCAGGGCCCAGCTTCTGTGCAAGGGGTATAATAAGAAGGGGCTCTGCTGGCCCCAGAACCTTGACTTCCCTACAAAGAGGCATGGTTTGCCTTGGGATGGGGAATGAAACAGAGACAAGGACTGTTGCTATGGAGACAGTAGGTGTTCTCCTTGGGAAAGCATGAGGAGAATGTAGGCAGAGAGGTTTGGGCCTGAGGCTAGAACAGGGTTAACTGGAGATGGCCTAAGAATGCCCCCAACCCAGCAAGTGTCCAGTGATGGGCATGCATATGCTGGTACCAGCAAGTCTTTCCACACTGGGCCCTTTTCCTGTTCACCTCAAGCCCACCCTCAATCTGCCAGGTGCACCTACCTTGAAAGGAGAGCCGAAGGCGTGGAAGGTTAGGGGCAGCGTCCCCCAGCCCCGCTGCCCAGAGAAGGGCCAGGCCTGGAATCATGGCGGCGGCCTCGGCCCGCCCCATGCCGGCAGCTCAGGGCGCTCAGGGTTCAGCAGGCGTGTGTGGAGGAGCCTTCAGCTGCCCTGGACTCTGCCCCAGGATCTGGAAAAGAGTCGGCAGCAAGGCAGAGAGGGTAAGGGCGGGAGGGCATGGGGGAGTCCCAAGGGATCAGATTACAGCCCCTAGGGAAAGAGGCTGGGGGGTCGCATACCGTTTCCTCTCCACCAAGGGTGCCCCGCCTGGCCACAATCAGAGACACACCCACACTGGGCACACCCTCAGGGTCACCCTGCACTGGCAGGCACCCGCCCCACCACGTCACCCTCCTCAGTCACCTCCCCTCCTCTACACATACTCACAAACATTAATTCACAAACACTACGCACCCACTACATGCCAGCCTGGGGCAGGGACGAGGATACCGACGGCACAGACAAGGTCCCCAGGCAGTAAAGGGCAAAGGGCCAGCAAGGAGTCAGATCCTGTGGTTATTTCAGAGGGCACCAAGTGCAATGAGCAAAACAGCTGATGAAGGGAGAATGGCAGGAGGGGCTGAGGCCTCTGAGGTGGTTGTGCACCCACTGACGGGGAGGGAGATGCAGAGGGACTTTGGGCAGTGGAGCAAGGCTGTGGCTGCCGAAGGATATGAACAGGTTTCCTCCGAGGGTCCCTTCGTGAACATGCGTACATGAACAGTGTGAGCACATGCATATGTATAAATGTCTGTGAGCAAACACATGCCACACCTGTATAGATTTGTCAGGTGCGCAAATGTGCATACACTTATGTGGCATTGTGTGTAAATCTATTCCGTGTGTACCAGCATAAAATATGCCTGTTTGGTACATGGGTCACATCTGTGCATGGGCTAATGTGTGGACATGCATAGTGGACATGCAAGGGAATACAAAAGCAGGATCAATCTCTCCCTTTGACTCTAACATAGAAATGGGACCTGTTCTTCCCAGGACCCCCACCCAGACCCATGCCAAATTCAGCAGCCCCCCCTTCCCCCTCTCTGTCACTAATTGTTTCCTCTCTGCAGCCTAAGGGGGGAAGCAGCTAAGCATGCAGAGACTAAGGTCAAGCTTGAGTCCCGAGAGAGGAGTAAGGCGACCCCTCTTCTCCAGGTAGAACAATGATTTGTCCTCCAAGTCCCTTCCAATTCTGGGTCTTAGTTTTCCTGTCTTTGAGCCTCTCCACTGAACCAGACATTTTGCCTGTCACACTCAGGTGGAGCTAGGTTCTGGCTGCTATGGCCACCCTCCTTTAAGGGAGCAGGCAGGACAGGTTGGGCACAGGGGTCAAGGTCACAGACCCCTCCTCCCTCTAGTCTCTACCGCCCCTCACCAGCTTCTAGACCCCTCCCAGGTCAGGACCCCAGTCTCTCTCCTTTCATTTGCTGACACTTGCCTCTGCCTCTTCTCAGGGTCAGGAAGTCTGTGAAGCTTACATGGGCTGTCTTCCCGCACTCCTCCAAGAACTCCGCAAAAGGGTCTCCCACCTTAACCCCTCATTCCTGGAGAAGGGGAGCAGGCTAGGGCCCACAGGGCACCCTCTGACGGCTCCTTTAAGTAGAAGCCCCCGCCCCCACTAGGCCAGCCACCTCCCAGAATACCATAAAGTTTGCAGGGCTACAGGGTGGATCGGGTGACCGGCACAGGCAGCTGGGACTGGCTGGAGATGGTGGCCCCTCAGGAGTGGAATGGGAGCAAGGGTCGAGCAGGTAGAGGTGGCCCTCTCCTGCTGGATCACAAGGTGAAGGGCGCCCCAGATAGTAGTCCCAGAAACTTGGCAATCAGCTAAGACAAAGCAGGTAGAAACGGCAGAGACCCTCCCTGACAGTTCTCCTTGTGCAGCCGGCGGAAGGAATGGTAGAGCAGGCAGTCCGGTCCTCACCTGTCTCCTCCACAGCTGAGGGATGACTGGACACTCCGCAGCAGCAATCTCAGTTCCTGGGAGCTGGCTGTAATAGGTGGGTCAGAGGTCAGGGAAGGCACTCTCCTCCCCTCTCCTGGGCCCCAGCCCCAGTGGCTTCCTTACCAATTGGACCTCTTAAAACTTCAGCTGTCTGGCCCTCAGTGGCTGTGATGACAGCCAGGCAGGAAAAAAAGATGCGGGGGGGGGGGGGAGGGAAGACACAGAAAAATCTCACTTCTGCTGAGTGTGAGTGTGTGGGCCCATCCCGAGAGCCCAGCTAGGCTGGGGCCAGGAGAAGACTGCTGGGAGGTGGAGTACTATGGACTCCAGCCTCTCTTCCAAGCTGGGAAGACTGCCCTGCCCATCAAGGCCAGAGCCGGGCACCTGAGGGAGGTTTCTGTAGAGTTATTTTTGTTTGTTTGAAGGCAGGGTCTCATGTAGCCAGGGCTGGCTTCCAGTTTGCTAGGTAGTCAAGGATGGCCTTCAGCTCCTGCTCCTCCTACCTCTGCTTCTCGAGTGCTGGGCCAGGGGTAAGGCAGACAGGACAGACTCTTCTTACTCTTGACTTTGGTGCCCAGGTAAGGGAGGTACCTGGGATCTTGTCCTGTACCCTGTTTGTACTCTTAGGGGCACTTTCAAGGTCTGGATATCGTCTCGGTTTCCCCAAGGCTGACAGCAGGATCTCAGCGGTCAGAGACCTCCAGCCTCCGCTGTCTGTCACAGTTTTGCTACAAACTGCCTGGGTGTCAGCCAGTCAGAGATAAGGGGACACAGACAGAGATAAGGGGAGACTTATCTTCCCGGGAGTCTACTCTGAGGCCTTGCCTCAGGACCCAGTGTTCCTGGCCTGCCTGTGTAGCGGCAGCAGGAGAAACTAGAGGGGTTCAGGAGGGTGCCTAGAGGAACTTAAGGCTTCTAGGATGAGGTCGTGCCCTGCTCCTGGGCTGACTGCCTCTCCCCATGGACCAGACCAGCTTCCTCTGGCCTCATGCAAGCAAACAACATTCTTTGGCTGTTTACAATTTTCCACCCAGCAGCCAAGATCAGCAAGTGCCTTTGAGGCCCCTGCCCACCCGTGCTGTGTCCCCAGTCTGCCCAGACTGCCTCCAGTTCAAGGGAATGAGCTGTCTCTGGCCCACTCAAGACAGGTGGCTCGTTCCTGCAGATATGTCTCCTCCCTCGAAGAGGAAGGGATGGATGGGCAGCAGGTTCTTCCCACAATCCCGGGGTTCATCATGCCTGGCTGGGGGTGGGTTGTCCCTTAGAGGCAGCACTTCAGGTGTTGGTATTCAGGTGTCACAATCAGACTCTCAAGACTCTGGAATGAGGCCATCTTGGCCTGGGTCTGAAACCCAGAGAGGCAGTTGGGGTCCTGCTTACACCCCTGCTCTGGGACATCCACGAGCACAGCACAGGTCTGCCTGGGTTCTTCCTGTGGGTTGCCCACTGACGGCACAGCCTGCCGAGGCCGTGGCTTTTCCTTTGGGAAATAACTGGGTTGTCGCACCAAGTTGCAGCAGTTGGCCCTCCCCCCACCCCCTCCCCTGCCATTGAATCTACTCCTTTGCACCCCGCTTGGGCTGCCCGCAGTATAGCTGCTACAGCCCACCTTCTGATGAAGTCTGCGCACATGCCAGTGCCCTGGGCTCCTGGGATCTCAGGCGCCTTACTCACACCTGCTTTTGCAATCAAAGCCGGTGTCTCCATGTTACAACCGTCCCCCACTGGCCACGTAGGCACCAGGTCACGTGACTGTGAGGACTGAAGCTTGGTACCAGGAGGTGGTAAGGCACAGCCATGAAGCCTAGCTTCCTGACAGAACAACACTTGCCCCCAATCTCCTGTGAAAAAGCCAAGGGACTGACAGCTCAGTCCCCACCCATAAACCCCAAGTCTGGTCTCCATGTCCAGGAGACCCCCAGCCCACCTTTTGGAAAGATCAGTTCCTCCCTTCCTTGCCTGTTGCCCTTCCCTTCAGTGGGCCATGTCAGAGCTGAGGTGGAAGAGCAGCGGCAGGAGACGCCACCAAGAGCTTTGGACCTAGCGGGAGGTGGTGGTGCACGCCTTTAATCCCAGCAGTCAGGAGGTAGAGACAGGTGGATCTCTGTGAGTTCGAGGTCAGCCTGGTTTACAAGTTCAAGGACAGGCTCCAAAGCTACAGAGAAATTCTGTCTCAAAAAACCAAAGGGGAAAAAAAAGAGCTTTGGGCCTTTAGCTGTGGCCCTCCCCCTGCTGGCTCCACCCCTGCCTTCCCTCCCTCCCTCGTGCACATTCCTCACAAGCTGAGGTCAACCCCTCTGGGATGGGGAGTCCCCCCCTCAACCAGCCACATCACAGTTCCACACTAACTCCTGTTTTCTTCATTGCCCAGCAGAGTGGAGTGGGGAAGCCAGGGGAGAAGGGGTGGGGCCTCTACAGCCTTTGAGGGAGGGGCTACACCAGGAAAGCTGCAGAAGTAGACTGTAGGACACTCTGTACTTATCATCAGACATTTACATAAATTACATTTGCATACATACACATTCCCTAAACTGGATATAGAGAGCCTCCCTGGAAGCCCTGATCTGGGGGGTGTGCTCTGTATGTGCTGGTGGAGTTGAAGATGTTGGGGATCCCCAGAGCTTATATTTAGGGAATAACGGAATAACTCTCTCATTCTCTCTCTCTCTCTCTCTCTCTCTCTCTCTCTCTCTCTCTCTCTCTTTCCTAAGACAGGGTGTCTCTGTGAAGGCCTGGTTGTCCTGGAACTCAATTTGTAGACCAGGCCGACCTTAAACTCAGAGATCCGCCGCCTGCCTATGCCTCCCAAGTGCTGGATTAGAGGGGTGGGCCACCACCTGCCAACTCTGTAGTAGTGCAGAAAGGGACAGGACTGAATTCAGACTCTGCAGCTCATCAGATGAGTGTACCCAAGGTGGAGCTTAGAGAGAGAGCTTATAGAGAGAGTTTATAGCTCACTCCCCCCATCTCCCCATTCCCTTCAATGTCGCCACTGCGCCAGGCAGGCTGGGCGCATCCTAGAGGAACAGCTGGTGTGTGTTGTTGCCAGTGCAGGTCTGGGCGCCTTATGAGGACCCTGAGGGAAACCTTTCTCTGCCCTTCTCTGCTGTGGCTACCATCCCAGCCTCAGGCTCAGCTCGTCTCCCACCCATCTCTCCCTGCGCAGCCACTCTCTCCACCCTCAAACCATCCTGTCCAGGGCGCCATCAGAGCCTCCCTCCTTCCCTTGGGGATTCAGCAGAATTCTCAAAAGTCCCCACCCCACCCCTAGCAGTACCCAAGACCACCCCTCCTAGGAATTTTATCATAGATATCACTGAAGAGGCCGGGAGGTGGTGGTACGTGCCTTTAATCCCAGCACTCGGGAGGCAGAGACAGGCAGATCTCTGTGAGTTCGAGGCCAGCCTGGTCTACTAGAGCTAGTTCCAGTACGGGCACCAAGGCTACAGAAAAACCCTGTCTTGAAAAAAAAAAAGAAAGAAAGAAAGAAAGAAAAAGATATTGCTGAAGGTAGGGCAAGACTCGCCCTATGTGGTTCCTGCCTCTGATAGGATCCCTGGGATCAACCTTCATCTGCATCTCAACTTGGTTTGCAGGAGCTTGTAGAGACTGCAACTCTGCAACCCTGGCCTGGAGTCCACAGCACATCCCTAGGTCAGCCTTGCCATTCTTCTAGGGCTCCAGTGGCCCCATTGCTGGAATGCATAGAGTTTTTGTTGCCAAAATGTTACGTGGGCTGTGCCTGAGCCCTTTAGAGTCACCTGCTGCACCCTCCTTCACAGTTCATTAGCCACCTCAGCTATTATTCCTCTTCTGTGGAAGATCCCTTCTCTCTTCTTGTCTTGACTTCCCACATCTTTTATAATTTATTTTCATTTTGTGTGCATTGGTGTTTTGCCTGCATTTCTGTCTGTGCGAGTGTGTCAAATCACCTTAAGCTGGATCACAAACAGGCATTATTTCAAACTTCAGAGCCACTGTGGGGGCAACAGCAGGAACCAGCATCACTGGGA